TCTGAAGTGATCACTTTTCTACATTAATCCTTATAGTCCATGCACGATTTCGTTTCGTTAATCGTGCATGGATTATGAGCATTAATGTAGAAAAGTGATCACTTCAGAGTTTGTGAAAATTTCCGAGGGACAGAATCGATGACCGTGGGCAGCTCCCTGACACTCGTAGTTCCTAGTGGTTACTTAATGTCCGCGTGGCGCTGGCAACATTAGGTCCGGTCATATATATATGTATATGATATCTATCCTTGTTTGACATACGGTGCACGAAGAAGACAAATATAAAATATCATGAATATCACCAATACTGATACGGCCGTTATTTTCATATCGCATATATAGCACAATAGACATTTATGAAAAGTAAGTATATTAAATGCAAATTTCTGTGTTCTAATATTACAAGATGTTCACACACAAATCGTCTGTCTTCAGAATGATTGGTAAAAATACCCGTATTTGATTGAATGAAGGCAATGAATTTCATCTAATCGAATCAACCGCGAACTTGGTAAATCATTTCATAAAAAACATGACAATAACAAACAGTTTTGTCAGGTGAGTATTATCTATAAACTAATAATCTCGATTACACCTCATTGGACTAAAAACAAAGGAACAAAACTTAGATTTTTTTATTGAAATATTTTATTTTAAAATTAAATAAGTAAAACATAATTTAAATGGAAATAAATGATTTTTTTATTTTTAATTGCTAATCAAAATTGCTAATTTTAAACTTGAATTATTGAACTTGATATTAATTTAAAATTTCCTTTATTCCAGGAGAAAGATAATAACGAAGTGTCAGGACGTTATTTCAAAATGTTTAACGACTCTCTTTAGTAAACCTAATGGTGGAGAACTCGATAGAGAAATAGCAAATCTGCGATCAATTCAGAGCATATTGAATCATATGTGAAGCAACTTTGCTAAACAGAAGTGTATACATGTATATACACATCATGAAAAACAAAAAAAAACAATTCATATTATTTTTAAGTTATTTGATACTTTTTTCTGACACAAGAAGCAATGCTGTTTATGTACTATCATTAAATAAGCTAATTGCTCAACTTTTATGAGAATGTTTATCAAGAAATATACAATTTATTCCGGGTAGACTATTACTGCCCAGTCTTTTACAAAAAATTGTAAATTCTAACACTACTGTACTAAGTAATAATATAAAATTGCTGAATACGTGGTATATGTGTTTAAAACTATTTTCATATTTCCCAGCCAATACAGATATATGACATCGTATGACTCAGTGAACATATATTACATCCCATATATATAACTTTTGGATGATTTTAATTATTATTTGAGGTTATATCCACAAGAAATTCTTTCATTTGTGCTATACAGAATATAACTACATATATGGAATATAACATACGGCCGCTAGTTAGGATCAGCAGTTAGGAGCCTTAAGTCAAATTTGATAAGAGAAATAATTATAGATCTACAAGATAATTTGGATTTCTTTTATTTTTGAGAAAATATATTTGAAAATAGCAGTTATTTTAAATAATCTCAGGTCTACATAAATAACTTTTTACCTCTGTTAGATTATAATGTTTCGAATGTCTTACGAATTGATATGTAACAATTAACATGTACAAATTACATTGTAAAACTTGAAAATAAAACTGTCTCAAACATATCTATCTTCATCAAGTTTCATGTTTTGATGTCTATTTTTTGCCAACTACCGTAAAATATGAAAAATAAGTGACATCGTACAACAAGCGGACGAGATTGTACCATCGTATGTATATTTTGGGGCCCTGAAAAGGGCCATTTGTTATTCTCAGTAGCTGCAAACCAAAAGGTCGTTGTCTCTAGTTCGTACAAATAACGCTTTGTAATTGTATTCGGCTGGGATGGATATGCTTTTCTTGCTCCGGTGTACTGTATCATCCTTATTAATTTTTGAAAGTTTCTGGTCGGTCTCGTGTATTGTATTTCACTTATCTCTCGAGTCATCGAACTAAGGAGAAAGAGTTGTTCATTCGGAACATATCTCTTGTTACTGACCGAATTAGTTCTGATGATAAGACAACAACCGCAAATCTAAGCTGATTATGTTTTCTTCTCGGTCTTCTTCGGTAACAGCACCGCCTGAATGTTGGGCAGCACACCACCTTGAGCGATGGTGACGCCCGACAGCAGCTTGTTCAGCTCCTCGTCATTACGGATGGCGAGTTGCAGGTGTCTCGGAATGATTCTCGTCTTCTTGTTATCGCGAGCCGCGTTGCCGGCCAACTCCAACACTTCGGCGGCGAGGTACTCCATCACGGCGGCCAGATATACCGGAGCACCGGCACCTACGCGCTCGGCATAATTTCCCTTCCGGAGCAATCGATGGATACGACCCACGGGAAATTGCAATCCGGCTCGGTTGGAGCGGCTCTTCGCCTTACCCTTAATCTTGCCTCCTTTACCACGTCCGGACATCTTGACTTGAGTAGAGGAAGCCTTGGTGCGAACCGTACGAGAGCAGAATACGTTTTGAAACGCTCCCTCGAAAACCAGCTATTTATACCGAATTGTGTAGGTTACGTTCGACCAATAGCGTGCGAGCGAAGTTGCCATTGGCTGGACGCTGCTGAACGGTTGATCGTACGTTTCTTTTGAATAATGAAACTTTCAACGTTTCTTAGTTCTCTCAGTTGAAATAACATACAAATAAAGTAATAAATAATACTTTAGAGAAGATTTTTAGATTAATAATTTAATGCTCGAATTAATGGTAAATGTATCACGTCGATAGAATGTAAATGTATAGCTGTTTTTGTTAAAATAATATAAAATATTATTTAAATTTTGTAATAATTTTAACCCGGCGTTACTAATAAGATAAAAATATGTAACACTGTTATTAAGGCAATGATCTATTATTATATCCCAGCTACTTTAAGAGCTTAAATCGTAAGAACATGAAGTTTTAAAATATTTTAAATAATCTAAGTTTAGTTCTCGGACGAAGTAATATACTAATAAAATTATCAAAATCATTATACAACTTACTTAATACTTATTTTACAATACTAAACATAGAACAGTTCTAAAATTAACATGTTTGCTTGGAATTTATCGCGCTTTATTAATGTCAGGTTAACGAAAATTAAATTCAAATTAAAATATTTATTTCACCTGTACTGTATGATAATTATGTGATTATATATATGTTATATTTAAAAGTTTCTTGTATTAAAAAACTCATTAAACTCATCTTTAAATTAAATTTAATTACTATGTTAAAATTAATTTACAAACGTATGTTTTATAATACAATTCTGGAAAACTCAATATATCCTTTCTCTCTCAAAATAAATTTTTATTTGATATATTAATTCAAGTGTCTTCCTTTGTTAGAAATAATTTTCAGTCTTGTGTTATTTTATGCTACATCGTACCTCATCATTTTACTTGACCCTCAATAATGTTAATAAATTATTATCGACAAGTCAATTTAATTTAGAAGTGATATCGTTTTATATTCAAATGTTAATGTACATTTAACATGAAATAAATACAAAGAATATATAGTTAGATTTCGAAATGTGTAAAAAATTAAGATAAGATCTACAATTAGACTTGTACCTATTATTGAAAAAAAAGTAAACTTACAAAAGAAAGTTTTAGATTTCTATTTTCGTCAAATTCATTTATACGAATATTCATAATTTTTCAATTATCTTCGTTTTTTTATGTATGATATTCGTTAATTTAGAAAGACTTAAATTTAGACATCTTAAATGAGAATTAAATCTTTAAAATCGAACAATATAAAATTTTTACTTTATAATAAATTTATAAGATTTAGAAAAAAGAGATTTTAAGTATCATCTGTTTATCGATTTACTGTTAGAGCAATTTATCCAGAACTTATATGTCTTGCATAGATAACTTGTATATCTTTTCGTATATCTTTGCTTTTCAATAAGTTTTTAAAAAATAAAGGAAGTTTCCGTTTTTAAGCCAAATTTATATTGACAGTATAATTAAATTACATTATCTTCAGCTTCATGTTAAAACTGTTTTAAGACTGACAAAAGATGCGACGCGCAGTTGTGTGGGGCTGAATATATTGTAACAATAAAGTTATGAAAGTTAAACCGCTTTGTACGGTGTTGGCATTTTTCTCATTTTACTTTGAAATAATCCACGGTCGATCTAGATATTTAATTAAATTAAGTTAAATATAAGAAAAATGTAATTAAAATCTTCATAAACTTGATGAGATTTCTTAAATATTCTAATTTTGTAGTTTTTAATAAATCTTAATCTTTTCTTTGATAAAAGTCTATTGAAAATATTTATGATTGTCATCTGTTTTCATCGAAAGATATCGATAAAGCATCTAACGTAAATGTAATCCGAAAATCTCAGGCGTCTACACACTCTATACGATGGCTCGCACGATGGATCCTAATTCCTAGCAACTCACCGACTCGTGTAGATAGACCTGGTCCAGTCTCGCGCGTACTCTTGGCGCCGAGGCTCGAGACAATCGTGTCTTTTGATCTTTTCTATAAACTATTTATCTACCCTAACGTATATGTAACTATAAACTGTTTAGTGTTTAGTTACTTAAGTTACAATTCGGGGCAATTAAATATATTATATACAGCATATAAAATATGAAGATCTTCGGTTTCATAATTATACGTTCAAGTATGTAAAAATAATTATCAGCTAGAATTATTTGCTAACTACTCCAGAAATATTTTTGCATTTCGTTGAAATCAAGTATTGTCCAATTAAGTTATAAGCTATAATGAATCTGATTAAAATTCGTAATTAAATTAAAAACATTTATTAAACTGATAGATAATTTAATAATTGATCAATGATAATGCTACGTTTAATTTGATAGTCCATATTTTTGTTCGTTGCAGTATCAAATATTCATAGCTTCAAGTATAAACGAATAGTTTAAATACATTACTTCAAATATTAATTTTATATATTAGAAATATATTAGAAAGAATGTAAAGATAATCCTGAAATCATAAATAAAAATAAGTATGCAGACGAGAAATGTTCTGTTGAAAAATTTGTTGGCCCTGAAAAGGGCCGATTAAGTTTTTTGTTATAATTAATAGCGCTTAAGCTCGCTCGCCACGGATACGACGTGCCAATTGGATGTCTTTAGGCATAATAGTGACGCGCTTAGCATGGATAGCGCACAAGTTCGTATCTTCAAAGAGACCGACAAGGTATGCCTCGCTGGCTTCTTGAAGGGCCATTACAGCAGAACTTTGGAAGCGGAGATCCGTCTTGAAGTCCTGCGCAATCTCACGAACGAGTCGTTGGAATGGCAATTTACGGATCAGTAATTCCGTACTTTTCTGATAACGACGAATCTCACGAAGAGCCACGGTGCCGGGCCTGTAACGATGGGGTTTTTTCACGCCACCGGTGGCCGGGGCACTCTTCCTTGCAGCTTTGGTGGCCAGCTGTTTACGAGGAGCCTTTCCTCCAGTCGATTTGCGAGCGGTCTGCTTCGTACGTGCCATCGCTACTGTCGAATTTTCTGATATGAACGATACAATATGAGAGAAGATCTCAGTCAAATTGAACGTTTTCAAAAACAACGCTTGTATTATATACAAAACCGGCAAGTTGAATTGCGCTTGATTGGTCGGTGCTTCAGGAGAGGGGCGAGTATGAAAGTTGCGTCCTATTGGCAGATGCCACCGGAGTGGGGAGCGTTAACGCGACGAAGGGATAAAACCGGCACTCCGGCTCGTTCAGTCACCAAATTCGTTTTGCACTTCTCTGAGTGTACGTACGACGATCGAAAGTGATTCATCATGACTGGCCGTGGTAAGGGAGGAAAGGGATTGGGAAAAGGAGGAGCGAAGAGACATCGTAAAGTACTTCGCGATAACATCCAGGGTATTACCAAGCCGGCCATTCGTCGTCTAGCACGTCGTGGCGGAGTCAAGCGTATCTCCGGATTAATTTACGAGGAAACGCGTGGTGTACTGAAGGTGTTCCTAGAAAACGTTATCCGTGACGCGGTCACCTACACCGAGCACGCGAAAAGAAAGACCGTGACTGCCATGGACGTCGTCTACGCCCTGAAGCGCCAAGGAAGAACTCTATACGGCTTCGGCGGTTAGACGTTGACTTTTTGCTATACAATCGGCCCTTTTCAGGGCCACCAAAAATTTTAAACGTTGTATTTCTCTTGTAGCAAATAAGTTGATAATTTTTTTATACGGATATTTAGAAATTTTTAATTAAAAATACTTAACTTTCAACTTAGCAGTATTGTATGATATAAAAGAAACTTATTTTAAAACTTCAAAATAATAAAAGGAAATATTTCGACTACTTTTTCTTTATATATTTTATCTTTGACAACTTTTTTGTCTACTTTTATATACAATAATTTGAAAAATTATTCTTTTCCGATTTCTGTGTTCACGCAGCATTTTTACAAAATTCATAAATAAGAAACTTGTTAACCTTTAATAAAGAGATAAAATAATAGATAAATATACATATACACAATTGTTGAAATTCAGTTTCAAATCTACCTAACCTCTACTTCTCAAATATAAGCATATACATATGTACAGTCATGGACACATCGGTTGCGATAGGTTTCAAAACGCACAAATATTTTGCAAATGCGAACTATGATTGGCGTTATACTGTCTCTAGACTAAAGATAGTACATTACATACATCGTGGTTCGCATTTGCAAAATATTAGTTATCTATAAAGCATATATATTATGTATATCAAATATATATATTAGAAACCTATAAAAATGTCGCAACCAATGTGTCCACGACTGTACATATAATGGTGAATAGGTTTTATTTTTTTTAAAGATATACTGATTACGTACTAACATCGGAAATGAAATTCATGTAAAATTTTTTCTCTGTATTATGAAATATATGAGAATTTATTAAATTATAAATTAGATAAGTACAATTAAATGTTTAATCTTAGGTGTACACTTGTGGGTTTCTCGACAATGACGTTGCTGAAATTTCAAAACTTATTGATAAAATTAGCAAATAGAAGTTATTTTTTTAGTACTTAAAATTTTCGATGTGTTTAGTTTAGCTAGGATATCTGGCCATTTGACATATTCGCTCTTCGCGAATTTATTATATATGAGATAATAAAGATATTTGTTATATATAAGATAATAAAGAACTAAAAATAAATCTAATAATTGCTTGTCTTTGGCCCGTTTTTTAAATTTTAATCATATTATATTTTAATTCATCAGAACATTACGCGAGAATAAGGAATTATACCTAATTCTCTATACGTAATATGATATACATATAATATATTCTGTACAATACATTATCCTTACGTAAGTAAAATTTAATTTGGTCTGCCTACTGACTTTTTGTATGTATTTAAATTATTTCTAATGTTTAGGCGTAGCACAAGTTTTCCATTAAATTTTATAATCTTATAAAAAGAGCCGATAACAAATTCGTGCGTGGCAAAGAAATTTTTAAAAGCATCTTATTTTCCTTGTTCTAAGATGATAAAGTATTAATTTAATAAATTGAAAGCAATTAGCAAAGATTGTATAAGTGAATAAAATATCGTGAATGTATATTTAACAAATGATAATAAGGTATAATTTTTTATCAAGAGATTTGAAATTCCGTTTTTTTACTTAGCATTCATGTAGAGACGAAACTTGTGGATAAAACTGAAAAATTGCAATGAATCTCTAGGTTTTAAAACGGCAAACAGTAACTAGAAAATAATTGAGAACATCTTAATTAATTGTTAGAATTTTATGACAATGATTGAATTTTATCGGTTTGAAAGGTCATTTCTGAATATTTACACAACAAAAATAGTTTCGTTAAAAAGGTCATCACGGGAATCTATATTAGAATAATTTCGTTCTCGACTCAATTCTTATTAACAATTCAAAATTAAGAAACTGTCACAAATTATTAGTAATATGGAATATTAGAATCTATATGTACTTATAAGATAGACACACAATATATATTTTAAAACTTTCGAAATAATTCTGAAATGTTCAAGACATTTCATATTTCGTTAATATGTTCATTTATATGTCAAACTACGCAACTAAACGTTTTCTTTCACTATGGCATTATCACAAATATCGCGCGAACATAATATATTTAAAATAATTAAATAATGCAAATACGAATCGACACGCATGTGACGTGTATAATTTTTGCTATTACAATATTCAACCGTACACAAATACTGCGCATTTTTTGTCGATCTTAAAAGTTCTTTACATGAAGTTGAAATAAACTGTAACAAATTAAACAATGTATTTTTTATGCTAACAAGCATCTATAAGAATCTTTCTCCTGAACCTGTAAAGAGAATTTATTTCGAAAAATATCACCTCAGCCAGGAAATTACGTATTTAAATTTATAATTTATGCTTTCGTCTACATTGTTACTAAAAAAATAACAGGATAGCAACATGGATACAGAATACCACAAACAAAACAAGAGACTTCCACGTTAAAATATTTGTTGGCCCTGAAAAGGGCCGATATATACGGATGCAACGTGTATTAATTGTTGCTTTACTTGGAGCTGGTGTATTTGGTCACTGCTTTAGTTCCCTCACTGACCGCGTGCTTAGCCAATTCTCCGGGTAAAAGAAGTCTCACTGCAGTTTGTATCTCACGGGACGTGATCGTCGATCTCTTGTTATAGTGAGCCAGTCTCGATGCCTCGGCGGCGATTCTCTCGAACACATCGTTAACGAAACTGTTCATGATGCTCATGGCTTTGCTGGAGATTCCGGTGTCGGGATGCACTTGTTTCAACACCTTGTAGATGTAGATAGCATAGCTCTCCTTCCTCTTACGCTTCTTCTTCTTGTCGGTCTTGCTAATGTTCTTCTGAGCCTTGCCGGCCTTCTTCACCGCCTTACCACTGGCTTTCGGTGGCATGTCGAAATCAGTAGACGAGTTCTCTCAGCGTACGAGTTCAGCACCCAACGAAGTCTGAGCGTCGATTGATTTCGCCAGCCCTCTTGCGTGTTTATATAGCGATGCAGAGTAGCTACACGACAACCAATCGCGTGGCGGAGCTAACGCGCGATCGAGACCGAGCGCAACCTCATTGGTGCGCCGTAGCAACAGCTGCTTCACGCTTTCGACGTTGAACTGGAACAAGTACAGAATACATAAGTTAAACATCGCGTCAGAATAATTTGTTAAACAATAAAATAAGTCTCACACTCCAAATAACATTTGTCTCAATAATAAAAAATGTAATCGGAATTGTGTTGGATTATTCTATATTAAACCGTGCAAATCGAGTGACTTGGCTACATATACCTAATCAACTAATCAATTAAATTTTTAACGTAAACGATTTAACATACGTGCTATAAAATTATGTTTCACGTATAATTATATTGAAACGAATTACACAATCTCACAATGAAATTAGAGATACAAGTTAAAGAAATCGTATTTTGAAGCACTGTATATAATTTCAGTTATTTTTACTATTATTAATAAAGAGAATCATTTTAGAGTATGTATTGCGTATTCCTAGACGAGTATTAGAATTTTATTTATGATGAAAAAATTGTACGTGAGTAAACGCAGAATAACCATGCTTCTCTATACCTATGTCCACATTTGACGATCGAACAATGGCAGGACATTCTTCTCTCCCAACGCCATTTCGTGATACATTGTGTTGAGAATCGAGACGACTTCGTATCGTCGTGTAATATGCCCTGCTCGATGTAAACCGTTTTCAGATGTTTATTAGATAGATACGTAAGCGCAAATAAGATATAGAATAACTAATAGCATTAGAAATTTAAGAAACATAGCAGCTATTATTAGTATTTCTTGTTTATATTCTACTGCACTTGGTATTTTATACTCTAGGGATTATATTAATAAAATATACAAAACGATCAAAATCATGAAAAATAACCTACAGAAAATATTATGAAATATTTACGCCACATGGAAGCTCAATATTAGAAACAGATATACATGGGCATAACGTCTATCTAAAATGTATTTTACGTCTTAACGTTAAATTGAATTTCTGAAAAAATAAAATTATTCGCGCATACGCGATAGTTAATTGATGAGACAATCGATTTGGTTTCTAGTTACCTAATAATTTATAACGCAATATTATTAGATATTGAAACATACACGATAGAGGTTAAAATGATTTACGTCGTAATATTTCTAACACGTTCCATACGAAAGATTACGAAATCTAATATTTATGTTAATTATGTGAGAAAGGAGAACAGTACGAGCATTTGTCAGGGATAGCAAGGTAATAACAATGTTGAACAGAACAGTATTCCTTCGTTATAAAAATTTTGTGGCCCTGAAAAGGGCCATTTGCGATGGATGCCGAATTACAATTATGCTTTCTTCTCGGTCTTCTTGGGCAGCAATACGGCTTGGATGTTGGGCAAAACGCCACCTTGAGCGATGGTTACACCGGACAACAGCTTGTTCAACTCCTCGTCGTTGCGGATGGCGAGTTGCAAGTGACGAGGGATGATCCTAGTCTTCTTGTTGTCACGAGCGGCGTTGCCGGCCAACTCCAACACTTCAGCGGCGAGATATTCCATGACCGCGGCCAGGTAGACCGGCGCACCGGCACCGACGCGCTCGGCGTAATTTCCCTTCCTCAACAATCGGTGAATACGACCCACGGGGAACTGCAGTCCTGCCCGGTTGGAACGGGACTTCGCCTTTCCCTTGACTTTGCCACCCTTGCCACGACCAGACATGGTGCCTCAATTTGCGAATGCGGATATACCTTCTACGGATGTAGCGACTGAGCGAATTGTGACGCCGAACCTTGGCTGCGCGCTCTCTTATACCCCGCGAGGGCAGCGCGCTTCCACCAATCAGCCGCTTCCGGCCTTCTGATTGGTGCGCCGTAGCTCTCAGTAGTGGTATATATAAGATAGCTTCGCCCTAGCTCGAGAAATCATTTTCTCCGTGCACTTCGAGAGCGCTGTATCGTGGTTTCATCCGCAAATAGCATCGACTGTACGAAAGAAAAATGCCCCCTAAAGCGAGTGGCAAAGCCGTGAAGAAGGCCGGTAAGGCCCAAAAGAATATTAGCAAGACCGACAAGAAGAAGAAGCGCAAGAGGAAGGAGAGCTACGCCATTTACATCTACAAAGTACTGAAACAAGTACATCCAGACACCGGAATCTCCAGCAAAGCCATGAGCATCATGAACAGCTTTGTGAACGATGTGTTCGAGAGAATCGCCGCGGAAGCGTCGAGACTTGCGCATTACAACAAGCGCTCTACGATCACCTCTCGGGAGATACAGACGGCTGTGAGGCTCCTGTTGCCCGGCGAATTGGCGAAGCACGCGGTCAGCGAAGGCACGAAAGCGGTGACCAAGTACACTAGTTCCAAGTAAATTGGAATTGGCTATGACGATAAAAACGGCCCTTTTCAGGGCCAACAAAAAATTCAAACGTTAGACTTCGCCTAGATATCGCACTTCTACAAATTACATAATCAACATGAAATATTTATATAACTTGAGCTATTAGTTTATATCGCGAATTTAATATTAAATACAATTGTCTAGTTAAAATTTTACTTGTAATAGAGTTGTCTAATAATAAAAAAATCTATATTATATAATCTCAAATATAAAATCATTTTTAGATAAAGTCGAAATATATCTGCAAGAACATTTTAATATTTAGAGGTTCTAGAAATTGCTTTTTATTTGTTCATTTATATTACAATAACATGGATTATTTATTGTAAATAAATTACACTTTTATTTATATTATAAGTTATATATATTTATATTATAATCTATTTTTAGATATAAGATCTCTAACCATTTTCTATTTTCGTTTTTAAGTTGAGTCAACATTTTACATACAGCATTAACATATATTTTTCCATTAATATCGTGCCGAATTAAATTTTATGTTCTCAACGAATTTTCGAGAATCATTGCGTTTGCGAATAACACGCATGGTATATATATCACAAATTTTTATTCCAATTCGATTTTTTCAGCCTTATTTGTCGTCTGACTATTACTGAGAAAAGAGAGAGCATGCTATTACGATTCTAACGTATACTTGTCAGTCATGATTTGTAGGTCGACAGTAAGTTCTTTCTTCGGTAAGAAGTAGCTGTGAAAGTACGATTAACTAATGACTATTTGTAGATTCGCAAGTTGAATTTTTGTGTTCGGCAACGCGGGGATTACATGCCTTCGTACAAATGTTTGATTATCCCCAGTCGCAATTTGCCGCCTCGAGATATGCTCCGAGCATATTATCGAGATATATACAAAAATAATTGCACAATAATACGTGCGAAGTTACCGAATTGCGTATTTCGCGAAACTCTTGAACAACTTAAGATGTTTAGTTTGAATATCTCGCGACGCGTGACGCGTGTGGAACGCAGCAGTTAAAAAACTACTGATAAGAAAACGATGCCGCAGTGCTATCTCGCAGGAAGTAGTATATCTTCACGTATGCGTTTTAACGATCGATTATAATGCGACGGAGAATATTCCACAAGTTGCTCGCTTTGCACGACAGGCAAGTGTCGATTCTCGTCCAGAAGTCGTTCGATCGAGCGTTCGTGTCGTTTATGTTTATTTTGTTTTTTTCCAGCCGTACGATCGTTTCGCGTCCTAACCTCTCGAAAATTTCCAAGTGTACAAATACAAATTGCGAAATGGCAACGGACACGAGATTCCTGCTGGAGTCGAGGGCCATTCTGCGAGATATCTTCCGCGCCGCCGTGAAAGCGGTGTCGCCGAACGAGATCATACGGAGACGGGTGAAACTGCGAGATAACGCTTTGCACGTCGACGGGAGGAGCTTCCCGCTCAAAGGTGACGTCTACCTCGTCGGGTTCGGTAAGGCGGTCATGGGAATGGCCGTGGAGCTCGAGCGAGTGCTCGGCGACACCTTGAGGAGGGGCATCGTCAGCGTGCCGAGCGTATCCAGGGACGCCGTGTGGGCCTCCTATGAATCCGGCTTCCCCAAGTTGCACGACAGTAGGATAGACTATCGCGCGGGCGGTGTCGACAATCGGCCTGACGGCAGATCGTTGGCCACCACGCACGACATTATAGACCTGGTGGAGAAGTTGACCGTGACAGACACCCTCGTGGTGCTGGTGTCGGGTGGGGGCTCGGCGTTGCTGTACATGCCGAGGCCCGTCCTGGATCAGGACGACAAGCTGGAGCTCTGTAGAAGGCTGCAAAACGCCGGCGCCGACATCACCGAGCTGAACACCGTGAGGAAGAAGCTGTCCCTAGTGAAGGGCGGCGGTTTGGCACGTATCGCCTATCCCGCGTCCGTCATCACGCTAATACTGTCCGATATCGTCGGCGATCCCGTGGACCTGATCGCCAGCGGCCCCACCGTTTACAGCCCGAGAGCACCGGAGCATGTGGTCGCTATATTGAAAAAGTATAACCTGTTTCAGTCACTGGAGGGCGACTTGAAGGCGGTCGTCACGTCCAAGGAGACGTTCAACGACAAACCGCTGCTGAATCCGGCCAAGCAGTTCAAACACGTCGCGAATATGATTCTGGGAAACAACACGACGGCTCTCGAAGCCGCGAGACTCGAAGCCTCGCGCAAAAAGCTGACCCCAATATTATTAAGGAACGACGTCACGGGGAATGTGCAGGACGTTAGTTCGGCGTATGTTCACATAACGAGTCTGATATGTCTCGCCTTGCTGAACGAGCTGGATAGACAGGGATTTTACGACAGAGTACGGACTATGCCGATACTCTCATTGTCCAGCGATAAAGTCAACGAGATCTTTCGTTGTATCACTGGCACTCTCGACGGTATAGTTTTAATTGGCGCAGGCGAGCCGACGGTTGTGGTGACCGGTCGAGGCAAGGGCGGTAGAAATCAGGAGTTGGCTTTACGTTTTTCACTAGATTGGTTAGCCAAGATCAAAAGTTACCCGCGACTCGCCGAGTACGATGTGACGATGCTCAGTGCGGGTACCGACGGTCAAGACGGTCCCACCGATGCAACAGGTGCATTTGGCTATCCCGCCATTGCGCCTGTAATGCATGATCTTTACGCGAAAGTTAAATTTATGGGTGCTGAAGAAAATTTACAGGCCGAGCAGGAGACGACAGACGGAAAAGCTCGGACGCAGGGTGAACGACAGCAAACGAATAGATTTATAACAGAGTCCAATGTTGAGCCGAAGGGACGGGATTTCGTTAGCACGGAACAGCCTCCTCGAGAAGATGTTAATGAACATCTCGACAATTTCGCACTAAAGATAATGCAAGTGGAACGCATGTTGCCTGAAAATGTCCTAAAAGAAAACGACACGTACAATTTTTACTCGCGCTTCAAGAAGGGGGCGGATTTAGTAAAGACGGGACACACCGGTACCAATGTTATGGATTTACATTTTATTTATATTAAAAAACGGCCGTGCAAGTGTGAGATAGAATCCTCTGACAGGCCAACAGAAGACATCTTGGACGTACACGATTTACATATTGACGCGTTGACTATTGAAAAGTACAAGGCTACACGTGCTCCCTTAAAATTTGACAAAGACGGACTTTTACAAACTCCAACTACCGAAGCTAAAGCGGAAAAACCGTTTCTTAATGTAAAAATCATTGATGAAAATTTTACAGATCCGTGTTGTAAAGGAAAATGTATAACGTGATTGATTAAAAAGTTATATAAAAGAATACATCTATGAAAAATCCTACATTACGCTGTATAAAATAAATAATAATTACACGTTCAACAATATTTTTTGGAAGAAAATAGATAATTTACATTGTAAATACTGCAAATTTTTAAATATATACCTCAATTATATCTGTGTATCAAAGGCACTGCTTAAAAATAAATCTCTTAAATTATAACATTTGCTACATAACGTACGTTTGAAGATATGACAATATATATTCTCTACATATATAGAGATATCTACAGAGCTTTTATAATATATATTTTATATATTTGTATATGTATCATATTGTTTGACTATATCGACGTTTTTTTCTTATGACAAAAAAATATAAAACTAATATTTCATAAAGAAATATATAATTACATAATATAACATTTATACATATTAGACACAATACAACTTTGGTTACCTAATACTTTCTATCCAAATATTTTCATAGATGTATTGTTTTTCTCTGAAGCTGTTAATTATTTTGATAGATACAGAATTACTTTGACAGAGACTTTTAAAAGCTTCTTAAAATATTTGCTTGCATAAGAAGATTTAATATATAAGTAGAATCTTCTATCATAACTGTTTATTATCAAGTCTGTGCAACTAAATAATATAAAAGTTTAATAACATCTATAAATTACGTTATACAAATATAAACGAGATAATTCATTTAGATAAAAACGAGATTATTTGTACATTTCTTAGTCATTAGTGTACATTAAACTTCAAAGTTTTATACGATAAAAATCTTTTCAATTGTTAAAATTATTTCGTCATTCATAAAAATCTTTTTTAAATTAAAATATATTAAAATATGTTCTGATTTTTTTTTACCACATTAATAAATAAAGAGACTAGAAATGGAAAATTAGATCCCGAGTTTTTGGACGAAAAGCAGAGAAGTGGCATAGCCTTATTAATTATCAACTATCTCATATGCTAAAGATCCCAACTAAATAAATGATGTTTGACTAGCATGTCGCGAACTCCGTCTTTTAAAGGCTGTGATTGTTCCTTCTTGGGCGGTAGTTCCCAGTCGGGGTTCAAGTTAAATGCGAATTGGCTTAATATTCTTAATTCACATTTTATTTGCACCCAACCTGGACTATTTATGAAGCTCCACGGTTGATACCTAAACGTTATATGTACCATTATATATTGTAACAAGAAATTTATACTGTACAGTGCACAACACGTAATTTTTTTTTCTACACTCACCACTTTTGTACTACTTCTACACAGGAACATAAAACTTCTAACCATAAATGAAGCACTTGTTCATTTAATCCGAGACATATGAGAGAGCGTAATTTTACATCCATCTGAGCGTGTGCATTGTCATGTGTTAAATTTACAGATTGGACACAACGATATAATAGCTGAAAAAAAATGTCCTTTATTATTCATCGAATATGTATGCGAGGAAAATGATGATAAACGAATAATCTGTGATACCTCCTCCGGTGTCAGAACTTTGCCATCCTCGTCCAACCTGTACGTTTTGCACAGCACCAATCGACTATAAACAGAATTGAAGTCTTTTTCCACTTCTCTGTTGGAAGCTTCTTCTATAAATAACCACGGATGACACGGCCCGCCCAAAAATGACGGTCTCTTCATTCCATGCTCTAAAACTGCTTTCACAGTGGGACATAATGTACCTCTCACTAAGTCAGTAACAGCTTCGCTAACCGCATCGTCTCCAGCGCATGTATATTGTTTACTTCGTTCATCCAGCAGTTCTACAAACTTCGCAGGAAACCACCCTAAAAATATATGTTAGATTAATTGAGTATAATTTGAGATGAGAAAATAATATAAATTTCTACTTTAAAGATCTGTATTACTGACATATATATTTTAAAAAATCGGAAAAAACAAAACATTTGTTAAAAAAATATATATAAAATAATTTTAAAAAGAACTGACAGAATTCATGAGATGTCAAATTAATTTCATCATAATACTCAACCTCTGAAATAATATAAAATTCTTTTCGTATATATATATTACCTCTCAATCCATTTAGTTCTCCTACCCAACAATGTTCATCTTTTTGACTAATAATTGTAATTATATCATTCTTTCGAAAACCAAGCTCATCGTCATCGTGTCTCTCAAAATCTGCAACAAGATTAATATATTTGCAGAACAGCATTTTTCGTCTGAATTAATTTGTTACGTTACACGAATGTTTTATTTTTATTGGTAATAAAATTACACCGCTATAATATATAACAAATAAAGAAAAGATATATACCTAGTAAAGCTTTTGCTCTTCTTTTCCGTGTCCGCGATACATTGACATAATTGTCATGGTCTTTCGCATGACTTTCCATTGTGTAATCTGCTATAAGAACAATATTATTTAATTTTGGATCGACATTTATGAAATGCCTTGCAACTTGTAAAACAGCTTCCCTCAGATCGACTAAAATTTCTGAAAAATCATATATAAAATTAGATAAAGATATAAATTTTATTGAAAATTCTATATGACTGTTCGTACATACCTGTTTGACGAATATTTTTGGATTTTGCGTCGTCTTCACCATCATCATTTCCAAATAAAATTGTTTGTAGCATTGATTTGTTTCGTTTCATTTGACGTCTGCAAAAATACCACAAAGATATATGAATAATAAAAGAAATTTTTATTATTGTTACGATTGTTATTAAATAGGAATACATAATATATTTTTCATCATTTATACCTATTCAAATGTTGCTTCGGTAAGTTTGGTACCGCATCTGGATTTCCTACCAATCCGCCTTGATCAGCCATTAAATAAGCTAAGTGACGACGTCGATGAGTCTCGACTAACACGTCTGTTAGTGATCCACTAACTTCTAAAGATACCTAAAATATACATATAGAAATATTATAATATATAATTTTGAACTTCATTTGTGTGTGTGTATATATATACACACATACATATACACAAACGAAGTTCAAAAGTTTTAATATAAATTTCTTGTATCTGCAAGATATACACACATACACCAAATTTATATTAAGATAGTTGTAAAATTCGTTGTTTTTAAAATTATATCAAGATATCATACGTTGAATAATTGGTCCACATCATCAACGTCTCCTGGTATATCTGAGAGAGCGTTAAATATTTGTGCAGAATTCTCCAATTGTTTTAAATCTGTTTCTGAAAAAAAAAAAAAACACATTTAATAAACATGGGCAACTGTACAAAATAATATAGGTCGCTCTAAATATAATATATACTGAAAATATACCTTTTATTTTCAACATCCCAAGCGTAATTTGAAATAAAACTATAGATCCGTCGAAAAGAAACATATCCCATATTCGTAGTAATATTTTCATATGCACGACCGATGCAAATAAAGTCAGAAACCAATGCAGAGATATAAGACTTAATTCTATGTCGTGTTGCACCAGAACATGATCTATGTCGGGAAGATAATTAGTTACTAATGTGCGAAGTACTCTTTGGTCAGCTTGAATACCTACGGAAATAATAGTTATAATTTGATAGTATTATATATAATTAACACGCTAAGTTTTTTTAACTTCAAAATATTTTAAAATTAGCAAAATGTATTACCCAATAATGTTGAAGAGTAGTAAGAAGCTGGTAACAAATCTTCCACTATCGTTGCCATCATCCAGAATGCGTCTTCCTCTTCCAAAAGTAATAATAACGATGCCGCCATTGTACCCGTACCTTGACAGTAACTTGACATAGCAGGATAAAAATAAACATTAATATTATGTATTTAACTTAACAAAATAGTTTTAAAACTCATCATATTTGAAATTCCTTCATACCCAATATCGGGATATAGCCAAGCTAAGGCACGCATAACGCGTCTTAATCGGGGTATACCAGTGCTGTGGAGATGGCTGAAACACGCGTTGGCCGGCATAATGCGAAGGAGATCTTTCTCTATCTGCTTATTGGTCATTAGTGCATCGTTACTCGAGGCTTTCACTATATCTTTGTACATTATTTCCGACGAACACTTTTTCTGAAATGCTCCTGTAATCAAAGGCATACTTTAATTCTCATAATTCGTCGTTTAACATTTGTATTTTTCTCGTTTACCTGACATGCGCATCCAGATTTGAGGTCTCAAGGAATGGGGTATGCCACGGCGAACCATTTCACGTAATTTATCTGTACGCGGTAGATTTCGATCCATATTTTGCCAGGAGAGCTCTGCCACTTCTTTGTTATGGCTGAATTCCAAGAGAGCGACCCATTGCAGTCTAAAAGAGCAAGTAAATATATTCCAAAAGTTTGTCTACTTTTATATCTCTATTATAAATACAATTATAAAGGCTATATTTTAAGTGCGTGACAAAAATATTAATTAACCTGTGCTGTGGATCCTCAACAAACGGTATTCCCAGTAATTTTTTTGAATTCTGTTCAGGGCCGTCTTCTTCCTCCACGCGAAAGCCAAATTCATCAAACCTAAATTGATGGAACAGTTATAAATATTATTTCGCAGTACTGTGTTTCCTATACAATCTTTTAATTAAACTTCTTTATATTTAAAAGAATTTAATTCTATTGTACATTATTTAACACGTATATAAATCTTACCTATATTCAGGCTGCGAATTTGGATCATCAGGTTGATTTAATTTAGCTAGGATATCTTGCGGCCACATGGATGGAGTTAACGCTGAGAATGGTCCACCCGGTGCCGGCGACAAAGCCTCGCCGCACAAATCTCCAATATCTACTTCGACCTCATCTTCGGAAACGGCTGTTTCTAATTTTTTCTAAAACACAATTGCACTTGACAAACATAAAACATGTGAAAGCAAATGATTAATATAGAATAACCTTTGCTGATTTAAATCGATATATTTTTGAAGAAAGGTCACATTTGCACATTTTTCTTTAACTTTTTATCACAATTTTCCCAAGTTGCAAGTTGCAACCTCAATTTTTTATTATTTTTCTTTGTCGTACAATTATATTATTCATTTATTTTTTATCCTTTTACGGTATTATTCTTTAGTTATTTTTTATTCTTTATTCTTTATACATTTTTTATTTTCTGTCAATTATTAGAAGATCGAATAAGTTATCTGCATATAGACCATTTTTTGCATTTTATACCCGTCTCATTTCTGTTTCTGAAAGAAACCATTGTAAGCCGAGAAACGATTTGGACGGTGAGGTGGCTTAAATCGACTCGACTCCACATGTTATCTCACGGGCTTGTCAATCTCGCGACTGAACGCGTCATAAGTATAACGACTCGACCGCGCGAGTACTCACGTTATGCTCCTCTTTCCCGACGTAACCGTCATGATCGCGAACGTTGAAGAACGACTTGGCCAGGTCCATGGTCGCGGAAATTGGTCCTCAATCGGGATCTCGGTCCGTCAACGCGTCAGATCGGTCAGATCCCCATTGACATCTCCCGTCCGTCGTGACCTGTCAACGTCGCGCGTCGGGCTTATCACTTATGGTGGAGCGCCGTGGACGGTGGAGTAAGCGGAGTAAACGTCATAATAACGGGAGACAAAAAAAAAGAGAGCAACTACGTCACACTTACGTAGCGTCATCTGGTAGCTCTCGCTTCAGAGATCTAGTCGAAACAAAAACGAAAACATTCGGCGCGTCCGATAAGTGTCGATAACAGGCGGAATTTCTCGCGTAAAAACTCATCGTCTATATCTCTGAGATTATTTCGTATTCCATTTTATTGAGATTTTTGAATTGCATTTCAGTACAGCCTTGTCCGGCTCTCTCTCCAATTAAATTTCTCGAGTTAAATTCAATCTCGGTTAATCGCACATGAATTATCTTCTGTTCGCTAAAAAATTGACACGAGATTATCGTTTGCGATCATTTGCAAAATAAATGCGCTGCTATACGCACTCCTTGTGCATCGAAAAGTCAATCGACAATGCCGAAGCGGAAACGGAACGTCGAGAGAAAAAGAATTGAGATAGCGAGCGAGAGGAGGAGAAATGGAGAGAGGAAGAGAGGAAACTCCTGCCGAGATCCCGTTACCCGCGTTACCTTCCGAAAAGCGACGGCAGGGCGCAGCACCGGGCGGTCGTTCCGTCCCCCCCCCCCCCCGTCTCACACTCCCAACCGCCACCGTCGTCGTGAGCGCAGAGCGAGTCACTAGCGAGTGTAGGCGAGTGATGCGCCGTCCAGGAAAACATGGCGTAAAGTGAGTGCGTTGCACATGTGTCAGTGATTTCGGTAAGAGGTCAGTTTCTGAATCGCGAGGTCGGCGCGGACCGCGAGTGGCTCCGGCTGGCTGCGACGGGCACGTCGGGGAACGGCACGCGCCGGGCGGGTCCCGCGGTGGAACACTCGCCGGGGAACACCACGCGCCGGGGAACGCGCGGCGGAGGAACGACACGGGGGAGAGAGAGCGAGAGAGAGAGAGAGACGCTGGACTCTCTCCTCCTCGGGGGCCCGCAGTCTCCGCTCTGTCATCGCGGAAATTCGTTCGGCCGGTCGTTCGTACGCTCGCTCGCGCACAGCCGTCTCGCGGCGGAGCTCCTCTACCCCTCCGACCGGGCCACAGCAGCCGGAGCAGCCCGCGGTAATGCCCGTGTTTCAAGTCCACCGTGTCCGGTGGCGAACGAAAGTCGTCGGTCCGCGCGAATCGTCCGCGTCGGCCTCACCGCCGCCGATCGCCGACGATCGTCCGCGGATCGTCGGTCCGCGCGGGTGTAACGTGCACGCGCGGAGCGATATCGTCGGGGAGGTCAGCCAGCCCGAGCTTTCCCCGTCACGGCGACGCATTCCGATCTCCTGAGTGTCGGTGCCGTCTCGGATCTAGCGCGGATATACGTTATACTCAAGGCGCGATTGGGCACAGATACTTGTTATTTACATAACGCGCGTAATATCACGCATGACGCGTGAGCGATGCTAGTAATGCGGCACGATACATCTCTCTCTCTCTCTCTCTCTCTCTCTCTCTCTCTCTCGCGAGAGAGATTCCCGATGAGAGATAACGTCCCCGTCGACGCCGATTTGTTTAAGAGAGTGCCTTTTTCGTTCTGCTCTTCTGTGTCTCTTACGTGAAATATTTGGATACGAGTTCTGCGAAGAATTTTATTAAATACTTTGAATCTCATCCTTTTAATTATTGCATGTTTCATGCTGCTGTATAAGTTGTTATATTACTTATCAAAGACCAGGGGTGTTTATCGTGATATAGACTAATACTTTTCGCTATATAAAATTTATCCTACAATGTGATTAAGTGCATATCACAAAAATAAATACATCATTGGAATATAATAAATATAAAATATTTTGATAAAATTGGTTTATATTGAAATAGCACATGTTGTTCGTAACAATATTTGTCTAATCAATTTTTTAAATTATATGATCTTGATACATTTTTTTAATATATAATGTACATATTTTTAATATTATATATTTATCTGTACGTATTATACATTTTTAGGTTGGATCAGTTGATTAGGAATAAGCTTTCTATTTAAATATACATCGATAGTCCAGTAAAAAATATAGGTAAGTCTTAATAATAAAATTGTATCTAATTCCCAGATACTTTAATTCTTTATAAAACATTTTATACATACATAATCAACATAAACGTTGCATATTATTTATTTTTATTAAATATAGATATTGCTTGTAATTTTCAAAAAAAACCAATGCCATCTATAACAATAAATAGTTCTATAAGATAATTCCTATTTTATAGAAATATATAATGAAAACAATATGGAGCTTTTGTATCTGTAATAACTAAATAAGAATATGCAGAATCACATATTTATATAGAATAATTTAAATGGAAGCTTATAATTATTAATAAAATGATTATGTATGTGATGTAATTGATTTTTAATTATCACACTTTAATTTTGTTTCACGATAAAAAAAAAGGATTATAAAATAGGAAAGCAGAGAGGCGGAAAGAGAGATGGGTTGCGATCTCAGAAAAGAGAGCCATTTCACAAGCTTGGTTTAGACATTCTAAATATAGCTGGAGGCTCTATAGGCTTTCCGTACTGTGTCATGCCGCACAGCAGCATCCTGCTGTGTTGCGTAGATCTTGCTCATTTTCCGCCATTAGTATGGCAGTGTGCCAATTTTTGTCTACTGAAAAGTATCTGATAAGCTTTTATAATAATCACCTTTCCAAATTCCGTACCCATTAATAAACGGGAAGTGCTGTGCTATTTTTGTTCTGATGTCATATATGACATAATGATTTTATTATTAAAAAGTCTTTACTAGAAGATTATCAATTATTATTTATTCTAAAGTTTTGTATTTTTACAATTTGATAATATATGCAATTTTATGTAAAGTTAGATACAAATTGGCATTGTTGCAATTATATTTATATCTGCACCAAATGAGATCATATAACTAATTTTTCTTAAGAAATTATTCTATCATAAAATCTCATTTTATCTTAGATTAATTACCGTAATTTAATGTATGATTTAATAAGACTTATGCCTTTGTGACGTTTTGTTTACAGATCATGGTTTGCAAAGCTGGTGAAAAGTCTCAAGGATGCGTTTGTGTCGTTCAGTTTAATATGCCTTTTGATGCTAACAAACTTTGCCATAAACTTTGTACCACCGACAAATTTCCCTTATATGTATCTACACCCGTGAAGGAGCTTTACAACTATATCGAAGAACAGTATCACATGCAACCGGACAGCTTTAAGTTGCTCCTACGCACATCGTCATGCACACTGGTTATTTTAATTACATCCTTTAAATATATAATACTACATATGACGTATAAAATGTATTCTAATGCAGTTGATATTGTATGCGATTCTAGATTGATTTGTCTAATTTGAAAGAGAAAACGGCGGAACAGATTGGAGTGGATTTCTCCGTTAATCCGAGTTTACCGAAAAATACTCTGTTCGTCGTTGATCCAACACAACCCTTTCTCATTGACCTAACATCGAAAAACATGGATTGTCAATTGCCAACGTTCACGAGCGCGCCGTCCCTTCAGCCACGATGGACTGAGGAGAATATCGTTAGGGAAGACGTTAGAGAGGATGTTAGGGATGGTAGAGAAGAAGTTAATTTCAGAAGTTTTATTAAAACTGAAACAAGTATGTAAGCACCATTTAAGAATTTTAATATAAATTTGCATATGTTAACAAAGATCTTTTCAAGTGTATTTTTTAATATATATCTGTAATAATTAATTTTATAATTTCTTTAAGGCTACGTCGGTTTAGTCAATCAAGCAATGACTTGTTACTTGAACAGCCTTCTCCAAGCTTTGTACATGACACCAGAATTTCGTAATGCGCTTTACAATTGGGAATATGTGGATGGTTCAGAAAAGGATGAAGCTTTGAGCATACCATATCAATTACAGAAGTTGTTTCTCAATTTACAGGTATAATATATTTTTGATAAACTCAATATTTGTGTATGTTTATCATATATATAGATGATAAACTTGTATTTATATTCAATTTAATTTTCGTATTTTTAATATAATTTTTATTAATGATATAATCGCATTTTTCAAATAGACGTCCACAAGATCCGCAGTGGAAACGACGTCCTTAACGAAAAGTTTTGGATGGGATTCTACCGAAGCATGGCAACAGCACGATATTCAGGAGCTTTGTAGAGTTATGTTCGATGCACTGGAACAGAAATTCAAAAATACAGAACAATCGGATTTAATCAACAGACTTTACGAAGGTACAAAATATCATTATGCGTGAATTGTGAAAATATCTGTAATTTACTTTCTATGTCGCTAGGAAAGATGATCGATTATGTCAAGTGTCTTGAGTGTGGAACAGAGAAATCAAGAGAAGATACGTTTCTTGATATCCCATTACCAGTTAGGCCGTTTGGAAGCAATGTTGCGTATAACAGCGTGGTAATGTATTGTTGCTAATTTGAAATACCATTTACATTTATACATATAAAAAAACATGAATATAAGAAAAAAAAACTTTCTCTCTAGGAAGAAGCAATTAGAGCGTTTGTCCAATACGAAACATTAGAGGGAACTAATCAATATCATTGTGAAAAGTGCAATAAAAAATGTGATGCGCATAAAGGCTTGAAGTTTACGAAATTTCCATATTTATTAACTTTACATCTCAAGCGGTTTGACTTTGATTACAAAACCTTTCACAGAATCAAGCTCAACGATAAGTATGTAAATCATAACTAAGATCAACAAACGTTCTATTTTTCATTTTGAATGAGTTTCGCATTACCGTGCTATTTCAGAGTCACGTTTCCGGACATATTAAATTTAAATTCTTTCATTTCGTCCACAACGAGTCAAGAATCTCCAGGTGGTGAGGAAGACATTGGCTTAGGTATCAAATGCGACGATAGTTCCACGACAGATAGCGGTACTTTAGATGACGATTGTGCACCGTGTGACAACAGCCTTTCCAACAGTAATCATTCAGCCAGTCATGATCAAGACGATGATGAAGGTACAATGTTTATGGGTGTGATCATTTATCGAAACCATTTTCAGAATTATTAGAGGATGTGTGTATGTCCACCTTCAGGTATCGATATGAGCAACGGGCCGTCCACGTCGAGTTGTACCACGCATAATCACGAGAATGAAAAGAACCGCGGTACTTATATGTTGGGAAAAGGTCCATACATGTATGAACTGTTCTCGATCATGATTCATAGCGGCAGCGCGAGCGGAGGTCATTATTATGCTTATATAAAAGATTTCAGGACACAAGAATGGTTATGTTTTAATGACCAAAGCGTAACTCAGGTATACAAATTTATTTTTCATGAAGCAATTTGCTGTATTTTTTGACGCTAGTAATAATTTTTTCGGTTATCTCATATTTTCAGATAACTCACGACGATATTCAGAAGACATATGGCGGTGGACCTTCGAGGGCGTATTATAGCGGTGCATATAGCAGTAGCACGAATGCGTATATGCTTATGTATAGGCAAATCGATCGTGCTCGTAATATTCTGCCTATGCAAACCCAAGATTTTCCACGACATATTCAGGTATGATTTAAACAGGAGCTAGAACTTAGACATATACATTCTAGTAAATTGTCTAGTAAACTTAAAATTAGAATAGTTCGTATAATATTCAAGTAGAATCAACTGTTACACTTATTCGTTTGATTTGCAATTACAGTTTTAAATTTATTTAAACATAATTACCTAGTTATAATTTATTATAATATAACACAATATAAATTCTTTTTTAATGATCAAGAAATTTTAATTACAAGAGAGATTTTTTTAACTAATATATGCAAATGCCTTTTTTTGTTAGAATTTTTAGAATTTATTTTATAAACTTTATCTCTTTTTTCACAAGGTTAATATTAATTTCAAATTTATTTAAGCATAATTATCTAGTTTTATAATTTATTTATTATAATATAACATAATAAATTCTTTTTCAATGATCAAGAAATTTTAATTACAAGAAAGATTTTTTGTAACTAATATATGCAAATACCTTTTTTTGTTAGAATTTTTAGAATTTATTTTATAAACTTTATCTCTTTTTTCACAAGGTTAATATTAATTTCAAATTTATTTAAGCATAATTATCTAGTTTTATAATTTATTTATTATAATATAACACAATAAATTCTTTTTCAATGATTAAAAGATTTTAATTACAAGAGAGATTTTTTGTGACTGATATATGCAAAAGCCTTTCTTTGTTAGAATTTTTAGAATTTATTTTATAAACCTCAACTCTTTTTTCATAAGGTACTCTATATTTAATACATTTTTTATCATATTTATTTGTAGGAACTATTGAAAAAAATGAAGGAAAGTGAAGATAACGATAGAAAAAATCGTGAGAAGCAAATGTCTATACCTAGATTGAAGGTATACTGTCACCATCCAGTAGAAGGGAAATTGATGAATGTCAAATTATATGTCATGCCTGATATTTCTTGGGCCGAAGCAACAGAGAAGGCATATAAGAAATTTGGTCTTGAAAATGTAGTGAGCCTGGATCAGTGTCGTTTAGTTAGTTATGAGCATAATACTGATTTAATAGAATGTAGTTACGATGATCGAGAGCATGAACCTGTTGGGAATATATGGCGTTTTTCCCGTCGATTCGATTTATTACTAGAAATTCGTCGTAAAGATCAAAAGTTTGAGACGTATTTACCAGGTGGTGAGTACAAAACTGAATGAGTGTGCGTGTATGTGGCTGATTATATACGGTTGAAATTCAAACTTTTTAAATGTCACGTTTCAGGAGTTGCAACAAAAGTATTTGTCATAGACGTAACTCGAGAGGAGGTAATTGACGGTCCGATCGATATCCGAGGTTTATTGTCGCAAAGTGTTAAAGAATATAAACAAACCGTAGGAAGAATTATTAATATGGATCCTAAGCAAATGAAAGTAATATTGCGAAAATATCCGGAAACTAGACCAGTGGAAAACGATGATAGCGATCTTCAGGCTGAAGGATTTTATAACGCGAATAAAATATTCATATCAACGATGTATGATATAGATAATAACAAACCTTTTCAAGAATCAACAGTATACAGGATTATAGAGAATTTTAGACATGTTATCTCTCTGCATGTCCAGTTACCAGATACCAGTAAAGGTATGATTTTTCAGTGGTTCACCGAACGAACAACTGTTTGCAATTACAATTATAATTGCTATATTACGAAAAATTCTAATTTGTTATAATTTTTGTGTAGAAACATTGGAGGAATTGAATATCCCATTGTTAGACGAATACGAAGAGAAGGAAAAGTCTGTTACCAGCGGTCCATCTAAACTCGGCGTTACCGAATCGCATTGGGATGCCAATTTGAAGTACAATGAAACCTCGAAAGGTTGTACGCGAACTAACGAGGATACCACCGTGCGGAATATAAGTCCTCAGTTGGGGGAAGCTGAGGAATGGAACACTCCTGAGCAGAGTAACAGTGAAGATAGTAGCCTTAGTGATAGTGATAAAACGTTGGTCGGCGATGCACCGGAGGGTGCCGATATTGAACCGCAATCGTGGCATAAGCACAACTTTAGGAACTATAAGATTTCAAAGCAATTCGAAATAGAAAACTGGGATATCGACGACGACTCCGATTACTACTTTAGAGCTACACCGTATACAGACAGTACTCAACAAAAACGTATGTCGTTAAAGACAATTTTAGTGATTTTACGTGACTGTTGGCCTCTTAATTTAATTATCTCTCTTTTCTTTTCTTTGACAGTACTTAAAGTATTAGTGGATAAAAGAATGAGATTGAGCACCTTGAAGAAAGATTTAGAACCATTTGTGGGTGTACCTGTGGAATATTTCAAAGTTTTTCGTCTGTCAAATTCTGGTGACTCGGAATGCAGTTGTTTGACGGAACAGCTTAATTCGTATGAGGATGGTGAGAGACTTAGTGTGAAACTCGGGCGAGCTCTACGTAACGGAGAATTCAAAGTAAAATTGTATCAACTATTAATCGACTCCACTGAGGTTCGTACCATAATTTTTTAGTAAGAAATTAAGATAGTTCTCTATATTATTTGTTATCAAGATTTCTGATCATGAATTAAAATTTTATTAGCCTTACAAATTTTTATGCGAATGGATTGTCTCGAAAGACATGACAGTCGGACATGCAAAGAAAGAGATATTGGCAGAAATAAAGAGAAAATATGATATAGATATACCGTATGAAAAATGCCGGCTTAGGAAAAAGTATTACAAAACAGCTTCAAAAGTATTTCTAAACGAGCAGAAGTTCGACGATCTCCGATTTCATTCGCAATTTGAGATGATTGTTCAAGAATTACCAGATAAAGAGCCAGTTACAGACACTAATCAGATTGTCTTGTTCGTCAAAAGGTGGCTGCCAGCAAAATTGCAATTGGGACAATTCCAAGAAATTGTTATGGATAACAGAACTGTCGAAGAACTGAAAAAGAAGGTAACTTGCGTAAAAAAACAGTCATTTTGTGTCAATAAAAATATAAAATTAATTTAAATTGATTTAAAAAAATATAAAATTAACTTAAAACTTCTTTATTTTTCTAGCTTTCCTCAATATCGGATATTCCGGAGGAGCATATAGATATAGCAAAGGGAAAAGGTAGCTTTCCATGCGACAACTCTGTGCTTAGAATTCAAAACGAGCTTGACTGGAACGAACATCACGATAATTTATCTTTCAATTTTGAAGATGGTGCCGTCTTCTTGTACAGGTATATATTTATTATATATTTCTTGATTGTTAAATTAATATGAACCACCTTTTAATAAATCACTAAATGTTCGGATTGTTTCAGGGACAATAGAGAAAAACCAAAACAATTAAATGCTGATGAGGTAATGGAGATCGCTTTTAAGGAAAATTCACGCTTAACGCCGCTTTCTACAACTTCGAGTTACAGTCCACGTCGGGAGAGAGCACTTAAAATATATTTGGATACCGAATGATCGTCTATCGAGAGAGAGCAGCGTTCTCCTAAAAAAAATGAGTCGCTAAATAGACAGATGTGCGAACACAAAATATTTACACTTAAATTTACGCATAAATTGGTTGCATGTTGGGTATTTGCAAAATTAATATTTCCTCAAATGCCAAATGTTTTGTGTTCCAGTGAGTCTTCAGCATTTCAAAGCTTCCGCGTTTCTAAAAGTTTTCGGCTTTTTCTTGAAACCATTGGATTTTTGAAAGTGTTTGAATTCGTGAATTGTTATATAGTAACACATAACTCGGAGTCTCGGTATTCATACCTGATTTCGAGATTTTTAGAATTTATATGAAGTGTATAAAATATGTCCGCGATATCACCTGGTCTGTTGAATCAGTTTTTCCATCTATAGAATCAAACTAAGCAGCACGATTAAGATCGTAAAGAAGAATTAATATTACGGCGACGAACAAACTTTCTGATTTAATGAAAATTCAATGAAAATTCACGTGTGTTATTGACTTATCGATATTTTGCATGACGATGTAACTTGTGTTTTTGTTATCCTACTATTTTTGCGAATCTGCTCGGTTTTCTCTATTGTACATAGAGAGGGAAACCTTTATATCTTTATATCTGTTAAACTATATTTATAGGCATTATGCTCTTTGTTGGAATAGTTATATATCTAGTATTGTATAAGAACTGCACTGTACAAGAACTATCATCGACAATACTTTTGTTGTCATTTCGCATGATGATGAATTAACTTGTATTTTTCTAGCAATCAAACTTATAGATTTGCTACTTTATGAGACTTTAATGAGTTTTTGCCAATCATTTTCGAATCTAAAATATATAGCATTTTAACCTGGCAATTATCGTGTGATGGCGTGTATCACAAATCACTAAATGTTATCAATTTTTTTTAAATAACATATATTTATCACGTTTTCAGATATGTACGTTTTATTATTATTTTTTTTTCAATTAACCGACTGTATACTAATAATGTGCATAAATGCGCAATAATAATGGCAGAAAGAAAAATATGATTTTTTAAGAAAGATATTGTGAAAGAAACATACGATTTTTATACATATTCTCTCATTCCTCGCTACACTACCGATATTTGCAAAACTCAAGAGAGCACGTCGCTGCTCAACTTACATTTGATTGTCATGTGTACATACTTTAAGATACATACATATCATTATATTATCTTTGCAATAACACTCGCAAATATACTGAAAATAACTCTTCATAGAGTCAGAAGATGTGTACGAAAGTGTTCTAGCTTCAAAGTGTGAAACGTCCATTGCTTTAGCTGCCAATATTTATTCGCTTAGAAGCTGCTTTTTGTTGATTTTCTTTTTATGCAAAGATGAAAGATTGATGAACTAGACCAAGTGGTAACTTAATAGTATCTATTTGTTGCATCTTTATTTATTTTGTTATCCTCTATTAATAAATCGATGATAGTTTTATTTATCATTTGAAGCCTGAGCTTCACATGTCGATCATCGTTTTTATAATTGTTGAACGAAGGAAAAAAAAGGTCGATGTTGATATTATCTTTTAGCAAGGTAGATAACAATGAAGGCAGCGAGCTACGTTTGATCCTCTTTTTCTGAATAAGTTAATCGTAAGATCGTGGAATACATCTCTCTGGATATACAGATTGTAATTTAGAACTCTCTAATCATCGGCGATCAAAGGATATTCTCTGTATGATACACTGAAGTTATGAAACAAATTATATTTATAATTATTAACAATGAAATATTGAAGTGTCTCAATTTGTCTCGTTTAGACCGCCTCGTTTATATCCACATCATCCTCATCCATTTCGTAGAAATGTATATAAATGTCTGCATGTTTATAAAAATGATATTAATACAAACACTTTGTGAATTTTGTCATTATTTGTATAAATGTAAAAAGATGAATCGACAAAGAAAAATCAATATTTAATACAGTTGCAATTATTAAATATAAATCTAACTTTTGAGACAGGTAACAATAGGAAAAATATTGCAATCTTTAATATTATCTTGCCAATTTCGTGACAATTTTAGTAAATTAATTGTAAGTTAAGAATGTGCGTAAAATTCATTAATTTTGACAGCATATTTTAGGGCAATTAAATGAATAAAGTTTAATTAAGTAAATCGACAACCAATAAAATTGTTTGATAAAGTTTATTAAATCGTTATCTCTAATCTAATCTCCTTCTATATCAAATAATAAACAATAATTCTGTCAGCGTTAATAAAAATGATACATTAGATGAAAATTAATCAGCGATTAAGTTAATCAAAATTCGGCCGCCTTAATTTCTGAAATGACCGATTTCCTTTTTGAATCAACGGTCATGGTGCAAGAACATGTATCTAGATGCGATTCATTCGCGAGCTGGAGCAGCTTCAAGCGTGATGGCACTCCCAACGCTGTACGTACAAGTATGAATCATCAGCTGGCTCTCTTTAGTTTATTCTCCCATATGTAGTACATGTGCCACACTTATCAATAGGAATATCATTTTACAAGTGTCGAGGAATTCATTGCCGAGCCGCACCGAGTGAAAAGTAGATACAAGTGTATATCCGACTGTGCACAATGACACGGAGCGACACCATCATCAGCAAGGTATAAGGCTGGCCGCCTCTTTTCACTTATCTGTCGAACAAAAAATTTTTAAATTAGCTTAATCGTTTGTAATTTAGATGCAACACGTGGAAGATAGCTTGAAAGATACCTTACACAGGGTCGAGGTAATCGAGAGAAAGCTTCACACAGAAGTACTCAGCATAGAAAATCGGGAGAGACTGGAAAACGAACTGGAGGAAGTTAAGGCAGTTCTCAGGCGAAACGAAAAGGAGTTGCAAAACCTGAGGAAGGAAAACTCAAAGTCCTTTATGATAACGGCGTGCTTGGTCTTCGTGTGTTTCCTTGTTTACGGAGTGTACCTGATGATTTTCGGAAACGTTTAATATGCCTGTAGGAAATAATTGTAATATTAATTTATCTGCTTTTTGTTAACTTTTTTTATATATGTAGTACAAACTCTGTCCCTCGCATATGTGCAGTAGTGCAACACATGTTTATACGAATTGCAAATTACGCCCGAGTTTTATAAACATTGAATTTATTTTATAAAAATGTATCCAGGAAGTGAATTTATAATATTTTAATTTTGATACTCTTTTTACCGTTAGTCAATTAACTACATATATAATCGTCACTGTCGTATCGCAAGTAATGTCGCCAATAGCGTAACGATCAAGACCAACCTTGAGATATTCCAATAGAAATGTTATATTTAAAAGTAGCGATGTATAGCATATCAAGATAAATATGTAAATAATATCATTGTAATAAACATATTTTAGATGTATGTAGATTATGCGCATAAGAATTTGCATGACGTTTGAAATGTCCTACATTATACACACATGTCCTGTATGTCCTTGCTAAAAAAAAAAAACACATACATGTAAAGACGTATATAATTTTTAGTAGCAAAAGAAATTTTTATTTTCACATGTTAACCAACATAACAATTAAGATAAATGCTCTTTGTTATAAACTAGTTAGTATCTGTTTCAGGTATACATATATATTACACAAACATCAATTTTATTTTTTAAAATATATATGTATATGTATATCATGTATATATATTTAAGTATATGGATGTAATTTACTATATGTGGTGTGCTGAAATGACAACGTACGAAGTGGCGTATCGTTTGAACTCAAGACATCGTAAGACGGAATGGGCAATAGGCTGGATTATCTTTAGCTGTTAGCTATTAAATCGTACTGAGGTGTCCCAGCTAGACGACTACGCATGTACTTGGCGTGCACTTCGGCTTCCAGGAAGCTGCCGCTCACCGCAGGATCTTCTTTCATGGCGACTCTCCATTCGAGCTGCAGTATTGCATGAAAATTTTTATCACACTCGATATGCATGCCAGCTTCCAATAATATAATATTATTATTTTCATTGTATTATTATTCTTTACCAGTCGTAAGAAACGATCTCGAGGTATGGCAAACTGCTCCCCCTTTATAATTCTCATTGAGTCCGCTCTTTCACACCACGGCCATATCATCAGGTCCAGCATGCCGGGTTTGCTGCCTCCGAAAAAGGGAGTTCCTCTCTTCGCCAACTCCCGGTCAAAGAGTTCCAGGCCAGCTAACGCCTCGTTGAATATTTCCTGTGCCAATGCCGCTTCTGAGTAGAGTCCCTGAAAGTCAAATGTAATAAGATTATCATGGGAATGTATATTTGAAAATTATTGACGAGAATATATATGTATTTCAAAGTGAAATCAGCATAAAACGAGTACCTTATACATAGTCGTTATCACTGTATTAAATCTATCGATCAGTAACTTATCTTTAGCCTTTGCTAAAGGATTACTTGGATATAGTTTGTTTTGAGTGTACGCGTCGTCCAGATAATCGGCGATAATTAGGCTCTCATACAGGGTTTCTCCATCTTCCAGTTCGATACAGGGAACTTTATTAAGCGGGCTCTTTTCTATCAACCAGTCCGGCTTGGTCGTTAGATTCACATTTACTACATCGTATCTAAAAGCAAAACAATACATGAAAAGGGGCGTACAGAAATATATAAAACATAATACAAAATCATTTACCAATTAAACAACATTATTAAGTAATTAAGTTTTTGTACAGAAACAAATTTCCCTTTTTATAAAAAAAAAACTATGTTAAATTAATGTATATCATATTTAAAAATAAGATAGAAATGTGAGGAAAGAAATTTTGCATCTCTACGGAAATATATGTTAAATTATTTTAAAATTATACAATTTATTAAAAAAAAATATATCAGTAAAAAGTTTTAAACATGTATTTTTTAGTGTCAAATTTTGATGTTTTGGACAAAAAACTAACAAAATAAATAATGATTGTGCTTACGGAATTTGCTTGGCGTCCAGCACCAGGTGAATTCTTTGCGCGTACGGGCAGAAGCGCATGCTGTACAGGCGTATTTTGCCGGATACGAGGGGCGGTGGTACCGATCCTGAAAAAAAGGGAATGCACATTCATGCAAACGTTCTCCCTCGCGAATCTGTCAATCGTGCGATATTACGCGACGATAAATATTAAATACTTCTCCAGTACCGGCGCTCAGATGCTTCTCGCTCATCCTGATGCTCGTATCCAGCCGTCGAACGCGCTCAGAAAGATTTTCGTCCCGCCGTTCTAAATAACGCTTAACATTCCGTTAACCGGCCGGAGCGAGGAATAAATATCGATGACAGTGCAAGTACTTGTGTATCTTCACACGCGCAGCTATCACGCGTACACATGTGAGAGAGAAAGAGAAGGATTATGCATCACGGAGCACTTAGGCGCCTTCTATGTTCATTGACATTTTTTTTGTTTATTTTTTTTTACTTTCTATCAGTAATTCTCCGACAACGTCGCTGTATCTCGCCGGGGAGAAAGGTTGGGTCGTTGGGAACAGAAGCTTGAAAGTGGACGGAGTAGATATTGGAAGTATTGGAACATTTGGAACTTTGAAGCTCGCCGTCAGCTCGGAGTTCGTCCACTAGCGCCTCTCGCGTGCATAAAATGTTTACATCAAACTACGCAGTCTACGAATGTATTTTCATCGGATAACTGCACTACACGCTATTATACGTTCAGGAAAGAAAAACATGAAAAATTAGGGCAAAAGGGATGTGGAAAATTAGATTTAAGACTCGGTTACATTGTATAGACATGAAGTTAATACTTGGCGAGTTATTTAATCGTTTTTCGATGCAAGTAAGTTCATGTTCTTTCATTATATAAATTCTGAATTTTGTTCTAACAAAAATATCGAGGGAGGCCATAAGATTATAATCTTATATGTATATGTATATTTGTTCGCGGTTCAAAAGCTTAATTTTCGAGAACTGTTTGTTTACAATTTGAAAATTAGAATTGTTTATTTATTATTTTTTTGGGGAAAAATTGATTTTTTTGATTCTCGATCTGTTTTGAATTCCATCGGGCACATTCGATTTCAAGCTTTTCTTCTATTTGATCTTATTACCTATACGTAGAAATCTAAAAGGTGTTTTTGAGTACAGTGATCGACGAAATAAGGTCGAAAAAAAAGAATATTCATCGACATATTCATCGTGCATAATATCTCATATTCTCGATATTACATTATATACCAGAAAACTCAATTTCTGTTGGTAACTACGGAATTTTAACCACAATGATAAGTATTAGCCTCTTCGATATCGACTGACCTTACCCTGCGATAGCAAATAGTGCGAACCGAATGCTACCAGATAGCGCCTCGGGTACTTTTACAAAAGTTGCGATTAGTAGCGGTCTAGTGGCAAAAGAGGAGCATCTCTTGTAGCGAGATGAGCAAAGCGAGATGGGCGAGAAGAAATTGGCGATTCGAAATTTGAAAATTCCGTGCAATGCCTGCGAGAGGATAAGTTCGATCTCCGTTTCTAGGCTGAAAAACTTGGTAAACTTGAAGACTCACGATTCGGATAGCAATAGAGATGGACGCGACAGAAATGGACGCGCGCGTTACCCGATTCCACACTTTCAACGCCCAATTCCACACGATGCCCAATTCCACACGACGCGCAATTCCACACGACGCGCGAATCGAACAATTAATTGCCGACATTCCAAGTAAGTGTATTAATTTGATCTGCTAACCTTTAACTTGCACTCTCAAAAGCGAATATTGAGTGATCATCTATAACATGATGGATATATATCTCCATATTTTTTTTTTACTGACTACGAAGAAGATAAACAAATAAATAACAAAAAAATTTTAGAAATTAGGCAAAAGTATTGTGAAAAATTAAGTTTATAAAATGACTCGCTTACATACAAAAAAATTTGTTTTCGTGGCAAAATATAATCGAGCGAGGCCATCACAATATACATTATCATTATTTTAGATATCTCCACAAATAATATTTAAATCATAAAGCCAAATAAATTCTCTTATAAAATAAAATCTGTGAAATTAAATGAATTATGATTTCATTATCTCTTTGTAAAGCAAACGGTTCTGAAATTTCCTTTTTTAGAATTCCTTGACTTGCAATCGTTTGCAATTTGAAAAATATAATAGTTTATTACTATTTTTAAATCGATTTCGGGATTTATCGATCATAGAAACCACATTATAATATCACATTAATAATATATATCTTGATTAAAAAAAACTGCTTATCACAGTGGTTTTCGATTAAGAATAGTTATTAACTCTCTTATTAAATGCAAATAATTTAACTAGATATTTAGCGCGTATTTTATACACATTAAATTTAATTTTCACGACACTTAGGATTAATAATGTTCTGTTGTAAATGAACGGTGGAATAAGATTTTATTCGGCATAGAATGTACGTCAATTGTCGCTTTTACTTTTTGTCGCTCTACGAAGCTTGCGATAGATTTGATGCTTCGCAGTGACAGTGTCGTAAAATACGAATGTTTATCTCTTGTAAAGTGTCTAATTTCCGTGGGACCAGATGTTGTTCCTGCAAACGATTCGATTAATGAAGAGCAAACGGGTAGCTTATTTTCCACGTCGAGGCCCGAGTAAGACGCGCTCCTTAACTTCGATACGATGCATTATTGCATCCGCTCGCATTACATCTGGATTCGAATAGTAGTACGAGAGAGGTGAGATACGGACGGGGGAAGCGGGTGGAGGAGAGGCGCGTACGCGTAAGTAGAGGTGGTGTTGATAGCGCTACAGCGTCAAGGGAGTGTATGCACCGAAGTCGATGATGGAGAAATGGGTTTGTGGGGGTGGCAGCTGCTAGGTAGAACCGGAGCTCGTGGTGGTAGGTGGTGGTAGCGATGGTGGTAGTAATGCACAAAATATACATATATCAGAGAGAAAGAGAGAGAGAGAGAGAGAGAGAGAGAGAGAGAGAGAGAATGTTTGTGCTCGTGTGTCTGTGTGGGAGAAAGATAGAGAGCGAAGTGGAGGAAGATGTGGAGGAACAGCGCGGGCGCTGATTGGTAGCAGAATCGATTAGCCAAGCCGAGCTAAACCTCCGGCACCGCGGCATGGTTCGGCGTAGCGACGCCACGAATTTCCCGAATGGGGGTTTCCCGTTGGGGCGGACCCCGCCGAACCCGGAGAACACCCCGGCCCTCTTCGCCATGGCAACCCGACCAATTCGCCAACCGCCGGCAACCAAGACTGACCTACCGTGTGTTCCTCGGCTTATTTTTCTCCTATCTGCCTCCGCTCGCGTTACCTCTTCCCTCGCGTTTCTCTTCCTCCTCCTCGTCCTCCTCCTTCTCCTGCAGCACCATCGTACTGCGACCGTTCTTTGTGTCTCCGCGCCGTTTCCCGCTCGTCTCGTTTCTTTTTTTTCTCTCCTGGTTTCGTTTGCTCACACACGTTTATACACATGCGTAACGCGCGAGGAGCGGGAGAGAAGAACTGCAGAGTTCCATTTTTTTTTCCACCCCTCGATTCCTCTTCGGTTACCCTCCATCCGTTTCCCTCTTGCTCGCTCACATTCTCTCTCCCTTTCCGTCTATACTCGTCGGCTGTACACATTTTTAATACGCGATCAAGAAGGCGAACGCGAAACGCATAGAGAAATGGGAGCCACATTGATTTTGCCGACGACTGATACAACCCCGTCGGCACGTTTAATTAGAACATGGCGACTTTAATACAAGCGCACGACAACAAGAACAACAACAGCGCTCCCCCCGATTTCCCGGGTACGGTGTTCCCGCGATTCTCTCAGGTCTATTCCGTTGTGCCTCCTGCGATTCCGCTATCATAGTATAGTAGCGATGAGAAACCGGAGAAACCGTGTCCTTCGGCCTTCGATGGGTAGGGGGGCGGGGGGGAGGGAGGGGGGATCGCTTATCTATCTAACCTAACGCGTTCTACGCTAGTGCCAGACATCCCTCGTTCATCCACTCATCCATCATTGTCATCGTCGTCATCGTATAGTCATCGCAGTTATTATTATTCATCTCCATTCTTGAAGTCACGCCTGTTCACGCGCATACACCTTGTATCTCGCACACAAATACACATAATACGCACGCAAACGTCTTTACTCCATTCTCTCCCTCTTTTTCTCCCGACACTCACTTTTCGTCGCATCCTCGCGCTAAGACTATTTTCTCTACACGCCTAAGCTACACATGAAAACACCCTATCTACATGAGCGCCCTTCGCGCTCGCGACCCGTCGGACCGATCCGGAAACCATATCTGCTGGATAACGACCGTTTCCCGTCGCGGTGCCGATCGCACGATCGGTCCCACGGGCCGTCCCGGGGGCCGCGCTAATCGTTAAAATTATTCTAGGAATGCTTAGGGCCACTTATGAATAGTATGGTACAGTATACGTCTTAAGGAGTTACGCTTCTCTCCGACACGAGGTACGCCTTCCGCCTTCCTTTCGGACGGATTGCCGACACGCGTCGATGAGGAAGTTGCAATATTCGCGAAAGAAAATCCTTCCTGCTCTTCTGGTTGTCCGTCGGGCGCCTAATATGCTCTTTCAGAGACTTCTAAACATTGATGTTTAAATTATTGAAAAAAGATTAGTGACAAGCAATCGAGATATACGTCAGATAAAAATTTGCATATTGTCAGGATATTTACGGCCTGCACACTGCAAGTTCTATCTTTTTTCTTTTTACTTTTTTAAATTTGAGTAGCTTATTTAAAATATATAATGAAAAATATAACTCTACGCTATTATCCTGAAATTTATAAATTTTTTTATTAAACTTTGTTTTGATTGATCGACGAGAAGATAATTAAAAAAAAATTGAACATTAAACAAAGTATATCAATATCATGATCCGTAAAATTATTTCTTTATTAATCACCAAAAGCGCTTTTCGCATTATAATTTTATATTTAATTATGATACAATTTTACAGATTTTCAAGCCTTTGCTTGTCTCACTATAAGATGTGATTCAAGAATGTTATTTTATGAACAGATTTTAAACATTTTAAATATCAGATCAATCACGTATCTATTTTTTTTCTCCTTAAGAAATCTGCAACATGCACAACTTTTTCTAACGAGTATAAATCTGCTAATGTCAAACAGTGCAAAAGAAGTTTCAGTGTTTAATGATACTCCAACATTATACCCTCGTAAGGCTGTCCTTTCGAAAATTAGAGTAAAAACTGTTGTACTTATGCGATTCAATACGATGATCTTTGCTCCGAAATACGAATCTGTATACGCTGTCTGCTCAAGATCGAATTCGGTTTCGGCAATCCGTCCTTCGTCTCGATATGGGTAGAGCGGCCACATATTTCACGCGATTCTAAAAAGGATGGGGTGAAAGTTCGATTCTGATTGCGTGTGCCGTCAATTGATATGACTTAAACGTTGTACTTTTTGATTATCGTCTACCTCTCACACGATGACGGAATGATGAGGATGTACGGTCAACGCGGTTTCGTTGTAAAATTACGTCAAAGGAACGAGAGCGATTTACGCGTATAAGCAAGCACCGCTTTGATGCTGACTGAACAGTTGTACAAATATTATGCGCTTCGATGATCGTTTCCTTGCACGCCCATCGTCCGATTTGCCCCTATGTAGCGTCTCTACCCATTTCTTCACAAGTAACAAATAAGTTAAAAGAGATTTTATGATACACGTATCAGCTCTTGGTCTGAATCGAACATGAGTACATTCCGCGGACGAGCAGGCGCCGCGAGAGACCTCGATTTTAAATTGCGAAATTCGCAATTCTGCATGTCGAGCGACATGGTGGACGCGATTCTGATGCGTTTTAATGTACACATGCCCGATTTAATCCAGTCGTAAACGCCGACGACGCTTGTGGAATTTTGCCGGCTCCTTATTTTTCGCGTACGAGTTTCACGCTCCCTTGGACCAAACGATTTCGCATGTTCAATTTACCGTCGTGCGATATATGTATTGTATACCTTGCACTCAGGCTAACGTCTTCGAGAATGATATCGATAGCGCACTTGCAACAAAAGGAAAATTAAAACGTTAAACGCATGACTAGATAAGATGACAAACGACGTAAGAAGAATGGCAAATGAATATTAGGGAAATAACGTTTGTATGTATACATATATATAACAAGTTTTAAATTACATGTTTTGTCACTTAATATACTACCTGCAAATCATAAGGGAGCTAGTTTTCTTTGGTACAGATATTTGGCAAAGAATCATTGAGAGACACTGACGCTTACCTTAAACGCAAGCTTTTGAATTAATAAGGTTCTTTCAAGGATGCGCGTATGTTTTTTTTTTTGCGGCAAACACGATAACGGTAAACGGATTCATGCGAATTTTCTCACGGACGCACACCCTGTACTAACGTAATGTATTATACTGTATGTACAACATTCTTACAATAATCTTTTTTTTTCTTTTCTGGGCGCACCCCCCGTCGGCCGCGAATCAGAGTCTGTATAGTGCAATCATTACGATGGAGTCGCCTCTGTATGGCGGCGCGTAAATGATTGCGACGCGTTGTTTTAGGCATTGCACCAAAAAAGTTGCGACGGTGTCTTGGTTCAGATTTGTTTAGGTATTGCACACCTTTGTTAGGACGACCGTACCGCATGATTTCGATGTTTAATCTGTCCAAACGCGTCTTGGTTACGTTCTTCGTATAAATATGTTCATTTCTAACAGTTTTAATTATTACACTTAACAAATAAATGCAAAAAAACCGCCTCGTATTATGTGAATATTATCGGTAAAATTAAAATGCTGATACTTGAATAATTTCGATTTATATACTTAGAAAAAGCTTTTTCTTCATTAAATTTGTCCATCTTTTCTATAACAGAGAGAGAACTTTAATGCTCAGAAAACCTGTTCAAAACTTTTCTATTAAAATTAAGTTTCCTAATAAAAAGAACACGTTGTTTTTTAATAAATTCTATAGAAAGAACAGTTTCAAACGTGATGCTAATGCTGCAAAAAGTTTTGATATTCTAGTAACCAGGTTGAATGTTCTACATAATTATTTTAATAATTCAATTATTTTTCAATCTGTATTTAATTAAATTTTTAGATACTTTAACGAGACCATTCCTCTCGTGTCGCTGAACGGATGTCGCGTTTTTTGCTTGTCGTCCGTTACTACTTACGTTCGATTATAAAGCTATGTCACTACTTGCGATCCGACAGGTGTATATAACTACTTGTCAATGATTGGTCGGCGTAAGAAAAATGTCTTTACTTTCTTTAAATTCACTATAAATTTATCTACGAGTGGTTTGCGCAAAATTTGAATTTTTATAATTGCCAGATGCACGTCAGAATGCATATATAATATTTTCATATACATTACATACATGATATTTTCAAGTTCGCCGACAAAATTTAGTTAGATTCGAACGCAACTCACTCATTTGAATTAATGTTATCTCTTTCAAAGTAGGCTTCTCCTACACGCTATAAATATCCCATGTCACCATGTTTAGATGCACTCTTGAAACTCTTCAATTGAAATGTGTACCTACCGGTAGAGATGTGTCAGTTGAAAGTTCTTTCAACTCAATAAATGTTTGTATCACTTTGAGACAATAGCACGCGCTATTGTCTCTTTCTTCCGCAAATATCTTTCGACAATTTTATAATTTCTTCATTAAATTTATTAGTAAAAAAATTGATATTGAGATTCTCTGTTTTCTTTTTTAAAGTATTACTTGATATTTTCGACGCGGTCGAGAGATACCTTATTAAATAAATAATTAATGAGCGTTGTTGAACACTATCGAAACGAGCTGTGAATTGAATGTAGCAGAGAGAGAGACAACATATATTGCTACAACCATGCTTCTCCAAGTGCAGGAGAAAGACACTACAAAATTTAATCGTCGAGACCACTTACTCTGCTACTCATGTTCATTTTGATTCCTTAGAAATGTGACGATTGCTTTAGAAATCCGTTAGGAAAGGCTAATGTTGCAAGCAAGTACGCGGTATGGACAGATTCGTGCAAGTACCTGAAACAATGTGCGGTCCGAGCCTGCGGGGGCGGGATAAGGGGGGCCGAGTGGGGCGCAATTTACGATTTCGCATGCCGCCGACGCGGCGGTGGTGACGGCGACGGTGGCGGATGCGGCTCCGTACTTTTATCGGTAGAAACGTTTTCAACGCGGCGTGCCCAGGGCACCCCAGTGCTCGGCGGCGGGTCATGCGTAATGCGGATAGGTGCCGAGATGAGGTGGCACGTGTCCGGAGGCCGTGTGATGGCCGGCGTACAAGTTGGCGCCCGGGCTCGTCGACCAGTAGCTCGATGCCGATTGGAAGAGGCCGCCGGGAACGGAAACCGAGACCGACGCCGCCGGCGGCGGCATCAGGTTCAGCTTGGCGTGGCCGTAACCGGACATGAAGAGCTCGCTCTGGTATTTGTACGCCGCCGGATCGGCCGCCGCCGGCTGCGTCGCGGCTGCCAGCCCCTGGAAATCGAACTTGTACGCGTACCTCTTGCCGTGCACCTTCGTCATGATGTTCTTGTCGTAGTAATACCTGTAGTGAAACAAACCACCAGGCGCTCCATTTAAATTTTATATTGAGCTCTAACACTGAACGATGATGGATCTACATTTTCAGGGACTTGAAGCTAATATTTCTGCGGGTTTCTCTTAAGAAGTTTGTCAGTAAATATATGTATATCTTATACATTTTAAGGGCTACATATTTAGCATTCCAAAATCTTAAATTTGCCTGTATTAATTTTATTAATTTATTGATAGATAATCTGCCATTGATATGATTACTTTGTCGTAAAACTTTGTAAAATATCGATGATCGAAAATATGCCTATTACACAGTGACTTAAAAATTCGTTCATCAAATAAGATTTATTTGTCGTTTTCAAAGCATAATTTTAATTTTAATAAAATTATTTACTATAAACAATACGACAGTAAACTGTACAAATTATAAGTTCAAAAAGACAATTTATTATTAGATTTCTTATATATTTTTAAGATCGTGAATATCGTGTGCGCGCTATTTTTTATTAAATCATATATACATGTGATACTATCTCTTAAAAATATTTTGCTATATATAAATTTCGCGATTAAAAAATATCAAATTCTAAGTTCAACGTCTTGAACAATTCTGACATTGAAAATGAGCTTGCTTGTTTGAGAGTTCTTACTACGAAGGGACGTCAAAAAGAGCAATCGCGTAATATAATCAGTGGATCTGATGGAAAAATAATAGCCGCGTCTACCGTCGGTCTGACTGTCGGTGATTGAAATTTCTCCCTCGTCCGCCACCCCCTGGTGTCCCGACGACACCAACACATGCGTACACGTGCGCGCGAGCGAGCGAAAACGCGAAACAGCCGAACGAATTTACTTTCACCCCAAAACTTCGTCAAAACATAAATGATGGTCCGTTAATAGCTTTTCCATTTGACGTTCGCGAAAAACGCACCGCCGCTGCTGTCGCGAGCGCAGCGGCGCGGCGGCGGCGGCGGCGGCGAGAGAACTCGCGGCCGTTCTGAAACTCACCTCAGGGCCCTCGACAATTTGTCGTAATTCATATTAGGTTTCGACTTCCTCTCGCCCCATCGTCTCGCCACCTCGTCGGGATCGGTCAACTTGAATTCGCCATTGGTTCCTTCCCACGTGATGCACGCGGCGTTACTCGAGTCCGACAGGAGCTCGAGTAGAAATTGCCAGAGCTGTATCTGTCCGGAACCAGAGCTCGCGAGCCGACTGCTCGTCGCCCCGAACATTTGGTAGGGATCTGCGGGTCACAACAAATTCAGTACTTCTTCGCAAGTCTCATATTTAATTGTTACGTTGCTTGAATAACGGGAGATACTTTATTCTCAACTACGGGATCAAATTTGATACCTGCAGCACAGGCATTTTTTGTTTCGAAATTTCTTCTCTCCCCTTCTCAAAATACTGTGTTACTATGATATAGTTTGTTAGTTATATACATAAGAGCATTTAGCCAAATGTTTGCGTGATCTGTACCAATAAACGCAAACTCCGTTTTCACACTGTGAATGAGTGCAAATGATGAAATTTTTCGCAGTTTCATGTATAGGATATACCTATCCATTACACGGTTGTTTTTCAAGAGCCCCCGTATCACCCTTTAAAAGCTTTACAATGCGTCATCACCGACGCTCGCCGTCGCTCAGACATGAAGGGCCCTACAGCCGTACAAAAGAACATAATCGCAACCCCACAATAGAATAGAATTCATTTGGATCATAATAATTTCAATTTGAGAAACTGCCGCCGGAGTGGCTCAAAGGGCGACACGAGTGTCTTTCTAATTGTAAGCTTTTCGGAGGTTTAGACGAGCGACTCGATATATCGATTTTTATCGCCGCAATATGAAAAAAAGCGCAATAGCTTGGAAACTACAAAAGAAAGTTTTTTTTTCAAAACTTAACTACGATTAGGATTTTAGTGGAACTCTGGAATGCTAACAAAGTAATATAATGTCTTATATGTAACTGTAAAAAAAATATATTTTAAAAACTGTATGTATTAAAAAAAAAGAAATAGTACAGAAAAGGATTTATGAACTTATGAACAGTAATTGTAAACCAAGATTTTATGATTGAAGATTGGGGTTTAACAATGGACCTAATTAATGTGTGTGAGGGTACCTCTCGTAATTTCTCGCAAAGAAAAAAATGTCAGACTTTCTAACGAGGAGGCTAAACGTCCCGATTTAATGATTTCGACGGTCTGAAAGAGCGAAGAAGAACCCTGACACGAGAGAACTCCAAGACGAACCCCATAAAAATACAAGTCGAGCGATTATGAGAGGGGGACAGACGCGGATGATGGGGACGGATTCGGAATTGCCGGACCTCAAAGGTCGTTTCGCCCGATGAATCCGCTGAATGCGTGCCGGAGTGATCGCCTTTCGATCGAACGGTAATTCACTTACAAGTTAATAATGGGAAGGGGCGCGGTACACCCATTTATCTGCCGGGAACGAGGGAATTGACGGGTGAAATACTGGGATGCGACTACGCCCAAGGATTCGAGGCTCTTTTCTCATCGCTATTCGAAACTCCGAGGAATCGATGACGCGCGAAGTAACAGTGACCTTGTTTGATTATCGCGTAGATAAGCCCGCTTTTCAGGTGAAAAGGCAGACCTTGTACTCCCAGTTTTAGATTTAAGTCAAATAATCTATTTAATTTGCAATTCGGAGCAAGACTCAATGCATAATTTGTTATAACATATAGAAAACATGTGCCGAGAGAATAAAAATTGTATTTGTAAAACAAGTGTATATCTTATTGTTACGGAAAACATTGCAAGGTACTTATAATGGTATAACAATTATATTTACAGTTCAATGTAAATATAAATAAAAATCTATGCAAAATTCTGTTTTAAATTAAATAGATTATATGAAAAAAGCTTTATATTTACGTATGGTACATTACCGTTACAATGAAATGAGATCTCTTTAGGTTAACTAAATTAAAAATTTTATTTCTTAGAAACTTGTCAAATTTTTTTTCAGAAATCGGTATTTTTATTATTATATTAATGACTTTTCGGCAAGTGAATATTTCGATTAAATTAATTCGCCGGGAGAATCTCTGATTATAATTCATTTTAGATGGGGTTAAGTGAGAGAACACTTTTAACTTCTCAAAAATATCTACCTACTACATACCAGGCTGCCTGAGATGGCTGTGCGTGTCCAGTGCTGTCTTTGATAAGCTGCTTCCATAGCCTGAAACAGGATGTTTCGCATCCATGCATTACTTCCCCCATCAAAACTTTATAGAAAGAAATATATCTAGAACGTTAACGAGAGATGATTTGTTTTAAAGAAATGGAAAAAGACCTGGATATTTACAAGTAAAACAGTGAAGTACGGATTAAAGTGCACGATTCATTCGAATTTCTGCCTGGCCGTACTTAGCTTTCATCGTCACGGACGCGTAATTATCTGTCGAAGGAGATGCCAGATGATTTCCGAGCACACTTTCGTGTAGCCTCGATTATCGCTCGCGATCGGTGGGACCGAGAATACTTCGATCGCGAGAGACGGCGCGCGGGAAAGAGTCATCGGTTCGAAGATGAAAAAGCGTAAACTCGGTCGAGCGTTAGAATCCGTTAGAGAGGATTTCCGTGTAGGCAAACACACGGGGGCTGAGTGTGCTACGTGTACGTTTCTCCCCCCGTTCGTTTTCGTCGCCGTATCGTCCCCGCGGACCTCGTAGCGTAGGCCTCGCCTCTCTCTCTCTCTCTCTCTCTTCGTCTTATTGCACGGATTCCCTCTTCGTGCGAGGAGGTTTTTCGTCCGAGGGCCTAGCCGGTCACGTTCACGCACGAACGTGTGCAATCTGTTTAAGGGCACAATGTCCCTTAATTTCGGCTCGTTACACGCTCGCAGGCGATGGCGTGCAAAGGTCAGTCGATTGGCTATATACTCGAAAATCGGTGGAATCACGATTGTTTCCAAATCGGCTCGAAGATCGTCGTGCCATCAATACGCATTTTATTTATATACTTGCAGTTTTTATTTCTGGTACTTGCGGTATAACAATCTTTAAGTTCTAGATTTTAAAATCACACTATCTTTTAAAAATAATTATTAATTGTTTGTGTGCTGCTTTTCTTATAAATGCAGCATACTATAAGTATTATACAATTATTATCCAAATGATAAAGAATTGGAAATTAATCTCTAAAATTTTATTAGCTAATAATGTTGCGGTAGTATTTTTACATGCCTGAATTTTTAGCTGACCCCATTCGTTTTTATTAAAAAATTAGAAAGTAAATTAGAGCGGTTAGTAGATAGTGATTATACATTTTTCAACTATTTCACAGAATAGACATTATGAACTAAATAACTACTAGAACTAACTGCTAGAAAACTGTAAAAAATACTTGCTCTCGTTTGTATTATCGCTAATATGTATCGATTTGCGAGGATCAATGCGAATGATGCTCCCCCATGACGATAACGTTTTCGACAACGGTTTCTATGATAGAGCGTCGTCGCGTCGGAATGTAGCGAGCCCCATGGGGCAGATGCTGCCTTTAAATAGCAGTTGGTGTCCGCTGTGTTAAACAATCTGATTTCGCCTCTGATTGGGAAGCGGGTACATTCTCGGACGAGGGTTCCGGCCGGCCGACCGGCCGGGGACGGCGTACCCGGGTCTGTACGGGTCGTAGGGTCCGCCGCAATCAGTGTAGCCGCGGGGCTTCGTGTCGTCGCGCGCGCTCGTTTCTCTAACGCAAACTCCAACACCGCGATCGAGACATCGACAACATGTACAGCGGGTGTCACCGATGACATAACGCCATCGAATTTACGACATAAATTATAGACGGTGCGAATTCTCTTGAATTACCTAAACCCGTTAGTCGTTATCGTTTTAAACATTATAACGCTATTCTTATAAATTTCGTAGTTAGTTCTTATTTATGACTTCTTTGATAAATTTGGTGATAATTTTTCTCGACGAAAATGTTGAGATATCAAAGTTCTTAACTTGCAGGCAATCGGAAATATAAGAAACTAAGAAGCTCTCTGAAATACTAAGTTTTAAACAATTTAAACAATTTTTAAAGTACTGAGTTTAAACCAGATTCCTAAGAATTTTTGTTGTATTGTACTAAATTTCACGTTTTACGTTTAATATTCCATATCTATAATTTCAATTACGATTTTTCGAATCCATAACGCATTTGCTTTTTTAAACGGTCCCTTGAATCCCTTCAAATCGTAAATGCATCATTGAGAATTAGCAAAAAATGTAATCCACGCGAAAATGTTATTAAGCATTGTTTTTGCAGATCGATCTTGCGTATCGTGATTCGCCTCGCGTCACCTCGAAAATCGACGAACGTGCACCCATTGTCGCGAGTATATCTGCGCATTCACGAGCAATTACGCGGGGCGGGGTAATCCCGTTAGGCGGCATGCAGCCTCCTCGAGGGAGGATCAAAGAACTCGTCGTCATTCCGTGCTGCTGCACTCTTTGGTAGCCTCGGACGCGTACAATGCCACTTTCGGTGTCACGACGCCGAAAAGAAGGGAGAATCACGGCGACTCCCCCCGTGCGACTTTGGAGAAACTTTGGACGCGTTCCAGCAAACACACCGACGCGCGGTGAGAGACGAAATCCTCTCGTTTGCTCGGTCATTCCTATCGTATCGAGATATCGTTCCACCACGCTAATTTTGAGATGTCGCCGACCGAAAACTACGGAATCGCGTCCAAATTGCTGGATATTTTAGAACTCTCGCGAAGTGTATATTTTAGAACTCTCTTACGAGAGGTGAATAAGGATACAAATGGAGCGTTTTATGACATTACTTTAAAGCTTCGTTAATGTTTGTTCTGATAATTCAAAAGTGAAGCTATTTTTATTGTAATTGAAGAAAGACGTAGTTTTAGGAAACATGAAGCATCTTTGACATTAAATTCTAATATTTTAACTAAATTTGAGAGCGCCTTTTACGGCTAAACTATAAATAACAATTAGCTTGAGTTTTCATCTGTAATTATACGATATATGTACTCCATCTACTAATTGTGACCTAAATTTTGACAACGAACATTGACAATTTCAACATATATTTCGAAAAATCCCAAAATCTGCATTAGGTATCTTTATCTCACGTTCTATTCATCGCCAGACTGCGGCCTAAATCTTTAGTCATATAGTCTTAAGTGGTACTGACTCATATGCAGCCGTTTGCACAGATCTATTTCGGGCATAAATCACGCTGCCGTGCGGTGCGTAATAATGAGTAAGCGAGCGTAACGCGTGGAACCTTGAGCATAGCGAGTTGCTCGTACAAACTATGCATGGGGTAGGAGAAACTACACCTGCGTACAAGGGCAAAGATCCTGCATGCAGGGATGAAGTTCAGGCGAGCTTTATTTTTCGCGTCATTCCCGTCGACGTTCCGCCATGCTCGTCGGAAATATCCCGTGAAACGCGAATGTTTTCCTCGCTTCGTATAGCAAGATCGCCTTACGTTCCTGTTTCACATGTGCGAAAAACCGAAAAGATATTTTCATAAACTGCAAAATTGAAAATGGATATGAAGAAAGATCTTTTTGAAAAATATTCATAGAGTACTCTTTTCGATTTTAATTTAATTGCAGCACGGAAAGGACGATTTTGCTGGAAGGTCTAAAAATTTCGCTGAATACAGATCTGAAAATAATTCTTGTTGAACCATCAAAATAATTTTGTTGGAAAGTCAAACTGATTACTAGACTGTCAAAACGTTTTACAGCAATGCTTATCATTTTTTAGTTTCCAACAAAATTATTTTCAGATCCAAAATTTCCAGCAAAATCGTTCTTCCCGTTAGCGATTAAACGCGTTCAAGAACTTTATACAAAACTTTCTATCGCATTACCGATTGTGAATTAAGAATGTTGAATGTAAGTTACGTCGTTATATCACGATTATTTATTCGTGACACACATGACACACAAAAATATCTAAAGTAGGTACTCCAGATCGACTAACTGTCAAATAAATTGCCTTCTAAAAAGCGGAAGTCGCAGTTGTTGAATGAGGCTTTCTCAAGAAGTTAGACGCGTGGGCGATTCCGTGCCCCGTGATGGAGGTAACATGTTTTTGTTCGTCAGATAAGGGCAGGCGTAACAAAAGTTATTTGTAAGAGCGAGCTGCGTAGCGCGGAAAGAAAATTAATCGTTTCCTAATTATCGCATAGCGTGAATATAGCGCCGGCTCGGTAAAAGGAAAAAAGATTCTTGTCTCCGCGGCTTGAGTTCCCTCGCACGATACGGCCCGCAAGTATTGTTTATCATACTTTTCACGTATCCACGCGAGCTCCTTGTGCAATCTCTCAACAGGAATTCTTTCTCTCTTATCGCGCTCCTTTGAAAAGAAGTATATTTATTTATAAGACGTAAAAGAAAAAGAGATTATATTAAATTTGAGCTAAAATTAATTGCTAAATGTAAAGAAATTAACGTATTGTTGCAAAATGAGAGATATGCAATCGATTTACACTTCTGAAACATGAAGCAGAGTTTTCCGAGCAGACTTTCAGTTGGAATCGTTTCCAATTTACAAACCTGCTTGTCAACGTTCTTTGTTAAGAAAATAACGAAAATTTTATTTATAGACGAAAAGAGAAAATTTTAAATTGATTAAAAACTCTATAAAAATCTATGAGACTTGATAAGTCTGGGATATTTTAAATATTATTTTTAGCCTTAGAGAAGACAATGGAAATCAAATTTTGACCATTTTTCTCAGTTAATTTTAAGCGGATGTTAATCGACATTTGATTTGACATTGACGGACGGATATTTCGACTCCATGGGCTTCTCGATGAAATCGGCTACTTTTTTCCGCGTGTAGGCGATAGACGTTCGACTGCGCACGGTTAAAGTGGAAACGCAATCCCTGCACCCCAACAAGGAATCAGAGATGAATGCGAGCCGATATGGGGGGAGAGTCCCGAACGCAGGCAGCCATGCGTGAACGTGTCACGCATAGGCACGTGCCCGTGTATGTACTACCGAAAGACATAATGTGAACGGCGACAGCGACTCTGACGACGTGTCCCGCAGCCCCTGCAATATGCTACGGACGTTTCTTCCGCGCGATTCCAATTTACCCGGCCTTGTATCGCCAGGGATATAACAGTCCAACCGAGGTAGAGTGTACTTCGCCCCGTCGCGCATTTTTCCAGCAACGCGGAAAGATCACGCGACTTGTGCCA